AGTCACCTGTTTAGAGTGAGATATCTGATACATTGATAGTCACCTGTTTAGGGTGAGATATCTGATACATTGAGTCACCTGTTTAGGGTGATATATCTCATTCACTGTTTAGGGTGTGATATCTGATACATTGATAGTCACCTGTTTAGGGTGAGATATCTGATACATTGAGTCACCAGTTTAGGGTGAGATATCTGATACATTGATAGTCACCTGTTTAGGGTGAGATATTGGATACATGGAGTCACCTGTTTAGGGTGAGATGTCTGATACATTAGCAGTCACCTGTTTAGGGTGAGATATCTGATACATTGAGTCACCTGTTTAGGGTGAGATCTGATACATTGAGTCACCTGTTTAGGGTGAGATCTGATACATTGAGTCACCTGTTTCGGGTGAGACATCTGATGCACTGACAGTGATCTGTCTTCTGTCAACATCAGGGGTTGCTGTCAGATACTGTCAATATCAGGGGTTGCTGTCAGATACTGTCAATATCAGGGGTTGCTGTCAGATACTGTCAATATCTGCATGGGGTTGCTGTCAGATACTGTCAATATCTGGGGTTGCAGCTGTCAGATAGAGGAGTCTCCTGTCAGTAAGAGGATGTTACTGATACAATGACAGAGTCTGTTTACAGTATCACTACACAACGTTACAACTACCGGGTCATCACTGAAGCCAAACCCAATATTTGCCAAAACAAACAACGCGTTTGAAAATTTACACGTGTTATAAACGTTTCCAATCGACGTGTTAATGAAAACTTTTTTTTTGACTAGTTTAAAGCAAAAATTCACATGCTTTCAATTCAGCAACATTCCTGTCTGGTAAAATACCGTAATGTACAGTAGTATTTAGGAGGGGTTTGAAGAAGTTACCGGGGCAGAGCGAACAGAACCTATTTACGATGTGTCGGCTGCTACCTGTAGTAGGTCGCGATGCACTTACCTGCAGATTTCTTCGGGATAAACGCCCATCAATGATTGTCATCGTTATAAATATTGTTGACATTTATGAATTTAAGTGCAGTGCTAATTAATTAGGGTTGATACTTACCGTGTACAGGTGATGAGGCCGCGGGCTACAGTGACTGCCTTGAGTCTCTGTATGATCCCCGAGATCAGTTTAAGTGAGGCGGGGCGATACATAGCACGTGACCCCCACCTCGGCTAACTTTAATTGGATGTGTCAGGTGAACCATTTAATGATAAACGTACGAGATTCCTATCATTCTTACAACGTTTCATTCACAAAACGAATAACCGAGTTTTGATATCGTTTTATCAAAATTACCCAATGTAGATTGTCTAATTGTGACATTTACTGTGCGCGTACAATTGATTACCAACATATGCTAGTTTATCTCTTGAAAAGTAATGTTCATGTATAATTTTTACAACCATCAACTAAATTAATATCCTTTATTCAGCTGTATCATGCCTAGCATACGTCACAAGCTGGTATAGATAGTTGTGAAAGAGGAGTGAGTAGTAAATGGCTGGTAACCCATTCAATGTGGAGGTACCAAGTTTCGGAGACGACGCATTTAAACGAAATATCTCCTTTTAAATTTGTTTTTTTTTACGAAAGCCTATCAGTGTCACTTATAAAGAGGGGGGGGGGGGGGGGGGGGGGGATACTGGAAGGTCATAATAACGATGATAGAACACGTTATTGCGCGAAAAAAAAGGTTATAATGCAAACAAGCGCGAAAGTAAAAGTACTGTACAACGTGGAAGTGTCACATATAAACGCGTTATTACGACTTTCCAGGATATTTTCCCCCTCGTATAGATCTGATTAAAATACAACTCCTCTCTACCATAGAACGCTAGTATAATGAGGATCAGATTGCCCTCCAAGTGACCCTAATAGGCATACACAAACTAAAAGGAAATACTCATTAGTTCGGAATAGGCTAGACCGGGATTCGAACCTGGAGCCTCCAAACTATACACGATTGTGCTGTTATCACTGACAAGCAACATGTTTTTAGATAAAATAATGACATCGATTATCGTCTTCTGTAAATAGCCTTTCGAAAAGTGGTCGGTCCTTGGATTAAAAATAATAATAACGGGTCCAGAGGCGTATGTAAAATCATAAAATAACCGCGATACGTCTCTTTTGAGTGATCCTAACTTCTTATCAAAAGGAATTATTGGGATGCGTTTTACTAATAATATCTTTTATTCAAATCATTTAGAGCACAGGGACCTGAGAATTCGTTAAAACTATACAAATGTACTTGGACCTAAACTGAGGTGTTCAGACTTAAATTAACATGTTTTAGGGGTTTAGACCAGGTGTCTGTGATTTATATCATAAATGGGATTAAAAAATAAAACGACATTCCATAATAGTGTAACCTTAACACCAATTTACCATATCAAAATAGTATTCAAACTACAATTTTGTATAAGATAAATAAGACACCACAATACTTTTGTTTGGATCGCAGAACTTGTAATGAAGCATAGGGCATCATAAATTTTGGAATAAGACCAGCAGTCTATATACGTAGTTCTCATCTGTTCCGGAGCCCAGACGAAAATACATGGGGCCTGGTCGTTTATGCGGAAAAACCGATTTGCTCTTTTTTAAATGTAACATTTTCGGGTATAAATCCGGGCGGATCTGAAAAACTGTATGCAGGCCTTGCCCTGACACAGCCTTGCAAGGCTGGCCAGAGTTTCCTCTGGCCCTGACACCAGACTTACACATTTTGACAGATCGATGTTTGGTGTCTGGTGTAAGGGCCAGAGGAAACTCGGGCTAGCCTTGCAAGGCTGTGTCAAGGCTCGCCTGAGAGCAGCATCAGATTACTGGGTCCGACCTTACAACCCTGGTATAATCGGTCCAACCGTTTGGATCGCGATAAACGAAAGCGACCTGATTTATAAGGGCTACATTCGCGTATCCCGGTTGAAACGGTACGTGTGGCGGAGAAATTTTCCACGATAAACGTACACACTTGGACCGTTCTATAAGCAGAGCTAAAAATCCACAGTTTCGGAGAATAAAAAACAGTGTTTCAAGAATATTATGACCTTCTTTAATCCGTCCACTGAATTACATAACGTAACTTAAAAACTACATGTGACTTGACATTGTTTTAGAAAGAAATAACGCAACTTGGCGATTGTCAGCATTTTAGTTTCGGTCAGGCACGTCTGGACCCCTCAATCTAAACGTGCCAAATTTTCCTGAGGTCAGCCTCGGTCCAGATCTGTACCTGACGTTTTCTTTACAGGTTGAACCGGTTCAACCGTTTCAACCGGTAACGCGAATGTACCCAAGGTGTAAGATCCACAAGAGGATGTTGCCATTTCCAGATTATGACTTTTAAACAATGAGACAGCATTTTAGAAAGGCCTAGGGTGCCATCAACAACAAAAATGCAGATCATTGCCATTTTACGATGTATTATTTATAGTATGCCAAGTAGAATTAAGAAACGTGTGTGGACTGATGAGAAAAGCAGTTTGAACGAATATACTTATGTCTTCAATAAGATTCGCCAGTTTGGAAATTGTGTACAGCATACAAAAAAAAGACAAATCAAAGAAGCTATCAAAATCAGGAAAACTCAAAACAGGAACAGAGACGAGGGGGACACCAGCTGACAAAACGGGGGAGGGGGTTAGATCTACACACTACCTGTTACCTATTAGGTACAGTGTGTATAAGTTCACTATCGATAGGAGAAACGTCCCGGGTCGAGTGACATAAATAACATACAATTTCGTTTTTGTACAGGTATCACTCAATCATAGCTTGACAAAGGGACCAGACAGCCTTGAAACGTTGCGTCACGTTTATTACGTACATTGTTTGTGTATAAAGTAAAACTTTCATAAAACTATATTTGTGTATCGGCACTCGACTGGGTCGATCGTCGGCGACCAGGCAGTTCAATTGATAATGCAACCGTCTAAAGTTAGAAGTGTTCCGGGTTCGAATCTCGGTCTGACCGTGCATTTTCCCGCTCTTGTTACTAAAAGTAGCGAGCTTGTCAAGCATTGTTTCCAGTATTGGGTGAATGCTTGGCAAAGGGATACCCTGACATGGGTTAAAGAAAGTTCTGTCTTATGAGTCGAAGACTTTGAAAGCCTTTGAACAAGGAGGATGAATGTAGACCTAGTAGAACTGGTGAATTGGCCGAACGTCGGCGACCAACTAGGTAGCTCAATCGATAGAGCGTCCGTCTAGAGTTCAGTGGGTCTCGGTTTCGAATCCCGGTATTATAGCCGTGCATTTCTCCTATTCAACAAAACCTCAAACACGTTTTGTGCAACTTTTAAATATGTCCCCATCCCACCCCTTCCAAATTCATGGATGCGTCCATGCTCTTTAGACAGTTGCCTACATATAGAACTGAGCCATAAAAAGCTAATTTGAAAATTAAGAATAATTAGGTGAATAAAAAAAAGGCAGTTCCTTTTTTATATATATATTCGTAATCTTGTACCACTAAGTCAATTTATGACTCATATAATGACAAGTGCTTGTGGAACTCCGCACGCCTAAAATCGATAAAAACAAAATACTATCGGTTCACTCTTGAAAAAAAAGTTGAAATGGCGGGAATGTTATAATACTAAACAAAAACAAAATCTATAAGGGGTCGTAACTTCAGTGCAGGAAGGATGTGAGAATCTGAGAGTAAATTTTCGGGTTTATGAGTTAGGGCCTAGTGCATGTGTGGTCCTGACGCTGTGATGAACAGAATAGTGAATTAACTCTAAAATGTAATTTCAAATTGGCCAACTCCTCTGTATATGCTTGGATCTAGAACTTAAACAATTTTTGTTTTTATTAAATTAATTCTATTTTATCTTTTGTGTATTTCATTTGGCACCAATGGACTTCCGTGCTATTGGAACATTTGTTCAGTCCTACTGAAAAATACTTTCAATATCTTCCAAATACGAAACGAGTACTTTAACAGTACGATTAAAGGGAGATAACTCCGAAAGATTTTGCATAAATCCAAGATGGCGATGACCAAGAACTTCCGGATTTTCCACAAGCTCGAACCGCCTTACAGTGTTATCGTGGAAAATAGAAACATTGATGACACTTTGATGTTCGAATCGAACGCACTGGCCATATTGTGTAAGTCAGTCAAAATTAGGAGGGTTAGCATAATTTATGGTGCCGCTGTTCTACTTTGTAATTGTCTTCGAGATTCCGATTGACAGTTGACTTCAGAAAGGTTTTTCTCTGATATTTTCTTCTAGGCCTATAGAATGCTATCTACATTGTTCGAAACAGATTCACACTAATCATGCATTATATAATATATAGTCACTATGAGGATTGGGAATTGAGAGGCGATGATATCGTTGTATTCACATATCTTGTTTAGACAACTTTGCCCTCCAACGAGTGTGGTGATAAACTATTGATCAATAAACAGCAAGCGTATTCTAAGCTATTGTAAACCGTGTGGCCATTTAAATTTTGCCATGATAAATACTTTGTGTAGCATTACTGTTCCTGTCAATGAAAGTTCTGAGAAACATCCAAATATATCATTTTTTTTCTTAATGACTTCACGTTGGCTTGCAGGTGGTTGTTTACAATCATACTAAGGTAAATAATATTAGCATTAATTATACCCCAAGGTTATACCCCATGGTTACTTAGGTTTGGGACAACCATTTGATTCTAAAATAAATGAGCGGATGAGTGGGGTGACTGTGGGAGGGTAGGTCTCATTTGAAGTATTAACATTATAATTAGTTTTTCACATTTTCCAATAATAGTCCTACCCCCTTCGCATCCATTCATCATAATCAATTGATTCTACGTATACTTTATTTGAGCCAGAGTTTCATCTTTCCCTGACACCATAGTTAGACGTTTTTTAGACAGATGTCTGGTGTGGGACCAGATATATATCTATCTGTCAAAATGTCTAAATCTCGAGTTTGAAGGCCAGAGGAAACTCCGGTTAATTATACCTTCAGTATTATTTATGGAAAATTTAAATTCACAGGATAAACTTGAAATGACATCACACTAAATCCATACATAAACCAATGAAGTTATGAATTTATGTAATAGAAGTCATTATTTTTGTCTTGCCGCCACGAAGTAATAAGCAGAAGGGAGACTTATTATTTTAAATTGGGTGTTGCTTTTCCGGCGGTGGCATCAACATTATGTTTTTGGTTTTAAGTTAGTTTGACTGACAGTATAAGTGCTAGACCAACCAAACTTGGACCATGGATGCATCTTAGGTAAAGTACATCTCAACCCATGCATCTAATGCTGGATACCGCCTACCTTTCATGGTCCATTGACTTTGTCAGCATCTTCATCAACATTTAGTTTTTGTGTTTAAGTTAGTTTCTCGGAAACTATAAGTGCTACCCCAACCAAATTTGACATGTGCATTGATGGTCAAAGCTGGGCACAGCCAGGCATATCAATCTGAGTGGCTAAGTTTTTAGCTCACCTGGCCCGAAGGGCCAAGTGAGCTTATGGCATGGTACGTCGTCTGGCAACCGTCCGGCGTCAATATTTTACTTTAAACAACTTCTCGATAACCAAAAGGCCCAGGGTACTGATTATTGGGCCTATAGCATGCTGGGATGAAGGGCTACCAAGTTTGTTCAAATGAATGACCTTGACCAACTTTCAAGGTCACAGGGGTCAAATGTCTTAAAATCTTCAAACAACTTCTTCTCAATAACCAAATTGCCCAGGGTACTGATATTGGGCGTGTAGCATGCTTGGATGAAGGGCTACCAAGTTTGTTCAAATGAATGACCTTGACCCACTTTCAATGTTACAGGTGTCAAAGGTCATAACATCTTCAAACGACTTCTTCTCAATAACCAAAAGGCCCAGGGTACTGAAATCGGGCCTGTAGCATGCTGGAATGAAGGGCTACCAAGTTTATTCGAATGAATGACCTTGACCCACTTTCAAGCTCACAGGGGTCAAAGATGTTAAAATCTTCAAATGACTTCTTATCAATAACCAAAAGGCCCAGGGTACTGATATTGGGCAAGTAGCATGCTGGGATGAAGGGCTACCATGTTTGTTCAAATGAATAAACTTGACCCACTTTCAACATAATGTCCTTGATCGACATTCAAGGTCACAGGCGTCATATGGTTAAATCTTTTAATAGATTCTTATGAATCAAACACTGATAATATGCCTGTAGCTGTATTTTAGTCTACTTTTAAAATTACAAGTGTGAGATTAATACATCTGTACTAGGTGAGCGATGCAGGCCCATTGACCTCTTGTTTGTTTCAGTATTGCCTTTGCTACGGGTTAGCCCGGACCTCTGGTTTACTAGTCTTATAACTACTGAGTGAGCTAAAGAGAAATTCTCCCGAACTTATTCGGTAGGAAGCAACTAGTGTTTTACCAGGGTGACATTTATACATGTATATGGATTAAGAAATATACTGATGAAATGAAATTTATTATCATAGCATGAAATAACAAGTGATACATAATGAACTGTTAAGAAGCAGGGTTTAATATGCACATGCTCTCTAAATAGACTGTCGTGATCACAAGGGGATCAACTCATATCCTGTTTGATGTCTTGTTTGTCAGCCAGAAATTACAAAATGATAAATAATGTATATAAGAATTGCAAGTAGTACATCACAAAAATGAACATTTCTAGTAAGAAAACACCACCTTCAGTACCCGACAATGTTAACATTCAAATAGAGCCCTGTGAAACATGTATACTTTCATGTAAACGTGACAATTACATTCGCAACAAACAGAGCTGCATACAGTTAATGATAGAAACAAAGAACGCAGGCAGTATAAAAACTGAAACATTTCAACCGATCAGAAATCTTGTTGGATATCTCTAAATGTATTTTTGCTTGTTTATACAGCTGCTGCTGAAACTGAGACCATAAAAAGACAGTACGTCAAGATCGTTGATGCCTACGGCTGTTTGGGTGTACTCAACCTTAACATTGGTAGGGAGTTTTGTTTGTTTGGGTTTGTGTCGTCACAATGCGGTCAAACTTAATAAGTCTGGAAGTTTGAATTCAAGATCCAGGAGAGTGTCTTGGGAACAGATGTTTACGTTTCTTTATAAAAGGAATTTCAAGTCTGGAAATCTTATCCAACCGTTAAACACAGATAACAAAGTTGTTGCTCAAATTCACAAGACATCAATTGATTCATTGGCCACATTGCCACTTAAAATTATACAGGGGCATTTAAACTCACCTTTAGAGTACTAGTTTGCTAATGAAATTGTTAACAGGTATGTGTTTCCTTTAAGGTCATTTTGCAAAGGTTGCATTCTCATAATTATATATTTTTTTAAATTATCTGCAAAAATCAAGCTTTGTTTTGTTTTATGTCAAATGACATTCGTCAGAACAAAATGTGATATTTGAAAAAACATGACTTAAATTGACATTTATAATTGTGTATACCCCAGTACTGTGGTGCTATGAATTTTACATGTATTTTAAATTCCTTGCAATCTGTTTCAAAACAAGATGCTGCATGTTGTTTAGCTAATAAGATATTAGAACATTTCCTTAAAACTAATAAACTTTCATTAATGTCAAATGCAAATATGTCTACATTAAGCAGAAATAATCCACCCTTGTCTGTCCACTTTTCTAGGTGAGGAAAACATACTGTACCTGGTTTTGGTAACTGGATGTTTGTCTGTCGGAAAGTTACTTGACTCTGAAATATTCCGCATCACAACCACACAGTGTATATCTTTACGGAATGGACAAGGAGATGAAGACCGGGTGGCCGAAGTCAGAAAACTTCTCAACTCGGGAACATTTTACTTTGCCTGGTCATCAGCCGGAGTTCCCTGGGACCTGACCTTGTGTGCTCAAAGGAAGCTACAGGACCACACTACAGATCACAGGTTCTTCTGGTAGGTCTTAGTCACGCAGAGGTGTGTCATTAAATACTGGAAACATATTTGAACTATGCCTCATACAAAATAATGCTAAAGGAACAACATCAAATGTAGTGTTTATTTAATATGTTTCAATCACAACAATGCCAACATGCTGAAGTGTCACCAGAAAAATGAATTATTTTTATTGTCAGACTATTTTCAGCTCTAAGTTTGAGGCTGGAACAATAGCAATTATTACCATGAAGTTCTATTTTGGAAGCGAAAAAAACTATGCAGGACTGTACATACTATTGAGACTCATCATAATATTTTATAAAAGATATTGTTGTCATTAAATCTATTCAATGGGTATCAGTCAGATTCAGTCTGATTATGGGAGACAATCTCACAGCTTCCCTTTAATGCCACTTTACATAGTAATCTTCCTTTGTTGCCATGTTCTTTAACTTTACACTTGCCCATGGCTGTATGTTTTGTTTCAGGAACCGCAGGCTGCATGTCCACTTTCAAAGGTTTGGTGTGGCCTGTGACCAGTGGCTGCTTAAGGCTATTTGTGGAGGTGTAGAAATACGGACAATTTATGCCTCGCACCGTCAAGCCAAAGCGTGCCTCATATCTCGGCTCAGCTGTGAGAGGGCTGGCACACGATTTAATGTCCGTGGAGCAAACGATGATGGACATGTTGCAAATTTTGTGGAAACAGAGCAGGTGAGGTCATTTTGCTGTCAGTCATACCGGTAATCCGATGGTCCAGTGCTAGTGTCTAAACCATGATTGATACATGTTGAAGCAGATACGGATTGAGTTCCTTGAACCCAATTTCATTTTCCTCTAAACAAGCAGCTTAGATATAAGAGTCCTAAAATTAGATAATTGATATAAACCAATATACAACCAAACCTGTATATAGAGATCATCCATGGGAAGTCCAAGAAGTCTTAACACAGGTTGTGTCTTAATAAAGATTCATTTTACAATAACATTACTAATATACAAAAGAAAAGTTAATACAGGTGGTCTTTTAATATAGGTGGTCAAATAAGCAGGTTGGACTGTACATCATTTGTCAATCTAAGTAAAATAAAATCCTTCACTCTCCTTACAATACACAGTGGTATAGGATCAGACAACACACTGTGTAAGAGCTCAAGGTCATGTTCTAAATATAGATGTTTACACAAGCATCCAGATATTGATTGGAAGCCAAAGGTCATCAGATTTAAAACATGACATCATATCCTGTCTTGACTGAACTTACACTAGCATACAGGAACGAGGAAAAGGTTTTGAGTTCAATTGGATTAAAATTTTGAAAAACAGTTCCATCACATTATGAAAAAAAATGGAAATAAAAGAAACTTCAAACTTTCAATTTCTTCTCAAACAAAAATGAACATTCTTTTCATCAAATTAAAAATAACAAACTAACAAAAATAAATTTTCACTTAAAATAATGTTACATCTTACAGATCACAGGGAACTTGAAATGGTACAAATGCTATGTAATAGTGTCAAATTGGCACAAAAGGTGTTAAGGTATTGGTAGCTGTTGTTGAATTATAATTATAATTAACATAAATTTGATCACTTTTCTGAGATTCCTGATATAATACACCTTGATATGTTTTTTTTTACAGGTGATATTTCTAGATGAACATATCTCCTCCTACATACAGACTCGTGGCTCAGTCCCACTCTTCTGGGAACAACCAGGTATACAGGTAGGTTAGCAGAATACCTATTACAAGTAATTGACTTGAAGCCCAGTCCTGTTCTTCTGGGAACAACCAGGTATCCATGTAGGTTAGCATAATACCTCCTACAAGTAACAGACTTGAAGCCTAGTCCCACTCTTCTGGGAACAACCAGGTATACAGTTACTGTAGGTGTATATGTAAAATGCCTTTATATATAGACTTGTGGTTTAGTCCCACTCTTCTGGGAACAACCAGGTATACAGGTAGGTCTGCAGAATAACTGACTTGAAGTCCAGTCCCACTCTTCTGGGAACAATCAGTTTTATAGTTACTGCAGGTGTATATGTAAAGTACCCTTCTACATATGGAGGTATGGTTTAGTCTAACACTTCTGGGAACAACCAGGAATACAGGTAGGGGTATAAAATAACTTTCCTGCTACAGGCTTACAACTAATTTGCCACTTTTGAAACATATTTAAGTGTTTTCTTTATTTTTCACTGTCTTAGGTTGGATCTCACAGAGTCAAAATGTCACGTGGGCACGAGGCCTCAGCTCCAGCATTTGAGCGCCACCTGGCGATGTTAAAGAAGCTGTATGGCGACCAAGTAATTGTGAATCTGCTGGGACAGAAGGAAGGGGAACATATGTTGAGTCAGGCGTTTTATGCACATCACAAAGCCTCCAGCTTTAGTCAAATGATGACGCTTATCATGTTCGATTACCACAGCGAATGCAGGGGAGGCAACTTCAAAAACCTTGAGAGACTCAAATATAACATTGGAAAACATTCAGTCAACTTTGACTTTTTCTATAGTCAGGGATCAGATGTGCAAAAGTAAGTTTATATCAGAAAAATATATTCTGTAATCAGAGATTAAAGGTACAAAATGAAAAATGACGTCAGAAAACTGATCAGTTGTACAAGTGAAAGTTATGGTTAGAAAATATCTAGCTAATTGTTCTTTAAATACTTTAAATATGTTTAATTGCCAATAACAAAATGGAATTATACTCTATGTTGAAAATTTGATCAGTATTGTTAATCTCTTTCTGTTATTTGTGTGTCAATATTTATATAATAACCATGTTTATGTTTTATAGACATGCAAACTGTAACTAGCACTTATTAATTATAAAATTAAATACACTCAAATAACATTGATATTGTCCTTAAACTGCTGTAAGGTCTGAAATGCTTAAACTCTTTTGTGCTGTAAGGTGCAGAATTGTGTCAGACACCAAACAGGGTTTTGAAATAATTATAACATATTGTTTAATTTTAGGCAGCCCTCAATAAAAAAAATGTGATTATTCATATTGGCTTGTTTAAATATCATAGTTTCCAATTTTGCTCAAATAAATCAGCACATTCCAAGTAATCATATATTCACTTCGGTTTAATATGAAATGCCTCAAGCATAAATGTATAGTGACACTAGTCTCTTAGATCTAGTGAATGCTTGTGTTTCAGGTTTCAGAGTGGGACAGTGAGGACCAATCTAGTGAATGCTTGTGTTTCAGGTTTCAGAGTGGGACAGTGAGGACCAATCTAGTGAATGCTTGTGTTTCAGGTTTCAGAGTGGGACAGTGAGGACCAATCTAGTGAATGCTTGTGTTTCAGGTTTCAGAGTGGGACAGTGAGGACCAATCTAGTGAATGCTTGTGTTTCAGGTTTCAGAGTGGGACAGTGAGGACCAATCTAGTGAATGCTTGTGTTTCAGGTTTCAGAGTGGGACAGTGAGGACCAATCTAGTGAATGCTTGTGTTTCAGGTTTCAGAGTGGGACAGTGAGGACCAATCTAGTGAATGCTTGTGTTTCAGGTTTCAGAGTGGGACAGTGAGGACCAATCTAGTGAATGCTTGTGTTTCAGGTTTCAGAGTGGGACAGTGAGGACCAATCTAGTGAATGCTTGTGTTTCAGGTTTCAGAGTGGGACAGTGAGGACCAATCTAGTGAATGCTTGTGTTTCAGGTTTCAGAGTGGGACAGTGAGGACCAATCTAGTGAATGCTTGTGTTTCAGGTTTCAGAGTGGGACAGTGAGGACCAATCTAGTGAATGCTTGTGTTTCAGGTTTCAGAGTGGGACAGTGAGGACCAATCTAGTGAATGCTTGTGTTTCAGGTTTCAGAGTGGGACAGTGAGGACCAATCTAGTGAATGCTTGTGTTTCAGGTTTCAGAGTGGGACAGTGAGGACCAATCTAGTGAATGCTTGTGTTTCAGGTTTCAGAGTGGGACAGTGAGGACCAATCTAGTGAATGCTTGTGTTTCAGGTTTCAGAGTGGGACAGTGAGGACCAATTGTTTAGACTGCCTGGACAGAACCAATGCTGTACAAACCATGCTGGCTCTGGAGGTAGGAATTTCTCCTATAATATTCAATTATAGCCTTTGGCTGAGGTCGATACCTGGATTTATCGACCCGTGAAAAGATATCTTGACCGAGGACGCAGCCCGAGGTCAATATTTATTTTCTCGGGTCGATAAATCCAGGTATTGACCGAAGTTAAAGGCTACAATTGTTTTATTATTTTACAAAACAGTAATGTAAGCAATCTGAAAAAAAACACAACAAAAAAGCTTCGGAAGTGGGAAGGTGTATTGTTTGGAGACACGTCATAATTTTATTTTTAGAAACACCCACTCCTTCAACAAAAATCACGCACTCCAAGTCAATATCGTTTTTTATCGGTGGACACGTGATGCACTCCTGGCCAATCACTTGTCGGGAATAATATGAAAAAATAATAATCTTATTTATTTTTCTCAGAGGTATGATTTAAATGCAACTTTGGTATTTTGTATACATGAAGCAAGTAAAATAAGTCTTCATAAATTATTTTGAAAGCACACGCTACTTGTAACTAGGGTTTGTCACAGTAACGGTCGCCTTAAAAGTCACATAGTACTTGTTACTAGGGTTGGTCATAGAATTTGGGGCCTTGTCAAGAATACACCGTACTTGTTATTAGGGTTGGTCATAGAATTTTTGGGCCTTGTCAAGAATACACCGTACTTGTTACTAGGGTTGGTCATAGAATTTGAAGCCTTGTCAAGCATACACCGGACTTGGAACTAGGGTTGGTCATAGAATTTGGGGCCTTGTCAAGCATACACCATACTTGGAACTAGGGTTGGTCATAGAATTTGAGGCCTTGTCAGGCATACACCGTAATTGGAACTAGGGTTGGTCATAGAATTTGGGGCCTTGTCAAGCATACACCATACTTGGAACTAGGGTTGGTCATAGAATTTGGGTCCTTGTCAAGCACACATAGTACTTGTAGCGAGGGTTGGTCACTGAAACTAATTTGTAACAATCTGGAAAAGGGTGCAGTCAACAAGCATTGGAACTATAGACAGATGCTCTATTAGATAATCTACCCTGTTCACAAATGATCAGCCTAGTCAAAATGATTATGGAATTCTATGTAGTTATGCTAAAAGTATACTTGCAAACCCTCTTCTCTTTAAAACCCTGCAAAACAGAAGACTGTTTATTACTCTGAAGAATGTATTCTGACATTATTTACAGACATATCAATAAAGCATTTTTGTTTACAGATGTTACCAAAGCAACTGGACAGCCTTGGTCTGGCAAACAAACCTCAGATGGTGTCGCGGTTCATAGAGATCTACAAACAGATTTGGCATGTTAGTGGGGACCACATAAGTAGAATCTATGCTGGTACAGGTGCACTCGGTGGAGGCAGGTCAAAGGTAGGTATTCATATATCTGGTTCTCATTGTAAGCTACATACAAGCTAAATTGTATGATTAAACCAATTTTCAGATGAAGAAGCACTCACAGTATTTTTGTGCATATTTCATTTTCTGAACTAATGCTCTAGGTTATATTCATGAATACGTCTTGAATTACTGTTGACAGGTAATATCAAGTGGTTTGAAACCAGTAAAATATGTTTGCTCTTGACACAGTATTCAGACGCTGCTCGGTCAGCCACTCGCACCATACAGAATAATTTTCTGGACAGTAGCAAGCAGGAAGCCATGGATATGCTGCTGATTGGTAGTTCTCTGAGAGGGGAGCTTGCTGATAAAGTACGAGCCCTCCTTACCACCAGGAGTCTGCATGGTATGTAAAATGAATGTGCCAGTGATCGAAGGCAAAGGCAAAGTTTTCTAGGGGAATTACATGTATAACTGACATATGTCAAATATATACTAAATGTTGTACTAATAAAGCCTCAAGAAACACAAAATATTAAAATGGTCATAGTACAAGTTTTAAATGCAAATATTTCAGAGGTTTCTACTGCATTAATTGTTAAGTGAGTTCTCGGTAAGAAAACAATAAAATGTCGCTCTAGAAATCATGATGTTATGTACTAATGAGTGTAAGCCAGATTCAGGAGTATGTGAGTTGAGGAATATAAAAGATCTTTAGTACGGAAAATAATTACAGGGAAAGGTAAATTGTGCAGTATAAGGATACATGTAATTTATTTGGCACTATTGACTGATATCTGTCAATTCAGGTTAATATTTGTAAGAAGAGGATGGTTATTATATACATATATAATATAATATATAACATTATATTTATACAAAACATATGAAATGCTTTTACTTCGTCTGGCAATAGAGTCATGGAAATGATGTTGGTATCTGAGACAATAAAACCTGCTTATCTCAGACTCGGAGCAAATACCACTTTCTCCTAAATACCTTTGATTACCCCATAATGAGGATTATTGAGTGAGGAAAGTGCCCGCAAGTCCATGTTTTGATATTTCAGTGAGAATGCACTTCAAATCTGCCCTTGACTGACTCCAACATCTGGGGACGCTGCCTTCATATTACCTTAGCTGTTAAAAGATGATTAGCCTTGAACATATTCAAACTCTAACAAATAATTTAAGCATGACCTACAATATTGTATTCCTTACAAAACATACCGGGGGGTAAAACACTTTGGTAACTAATCAGTTATGATTTAGAGTTGAGAATCAAATAGCTTTTACTGCATTTTAATGGAGACATAGACTTGACCTTTATTGACCTTTATTGACCTTTATTGACCTTTCCAGGCCCAGCTATGGTACTACAGTCCATGGTAGATCGTCACAAGGAGTTTACTAGTGTCAACAGTCTGCGCATATTTATTGGAACCTGGAACGTGAATGGAGGCAAACATTTCCGTAGCATTGCCTTCAAACACCAGTCTATATCTGACTGGTTACTTGATGCTCCTAAGATTGCTGCTGAGAATCACCCAGGTAGGAATATAGTGATACCTCTCTACTAACACTATTAAAACTACAATATGTAAAGACTTTCTGTCTATAAAGAACACCTGTCTATAAAGATTGCAAGTATGTAAAGACTTCCAGTCTGTAAAGCCTTCTTGTGTATAAAGCCAGACCTCTAAATATGTTCCTGTCTCTAAACTACTACATGTTCTAGTATATAACAACTTATTATTGAACAACCTTGGTATGAAGACCACCTCTCTATAAAGAGCTCTTGTCTGTTAAGACAACCAGTCTATAAAGACCATCTATCTATAAAGATCACATTTCTACTATGGCAATCTACCTATTAGTACAGTCTTAAGAATACTTTTAATGGGGTTTTCAATTTACATGCAGTAACAACCTCTGTCTATTAACATCCCTCTGTAAATAATATCAGGTTACTGCATATTTGTGTAATACGATAGCAGCTTCCTAGCAATAAGTTGATATGTTTTAAATCTTTGATATAGAAAATATGTTTTAGAAGTTTTATGTGGTAAAAATATGTCTCAGAAGCTTGGAATAAGATTTTCTGTTTATTTTTCTGGGTTTTCTTAGAAAAAATGGTGATTTTATGAGATTTATAAAGAAGTTATAAATCTCAAAAACTTTGGAAACAATTTTATATAATGATAAATTGTAAATAAGGGGATGAGGTATTAGCTATGTGATTGCTTAATCTAATGGTTTATAATAAGTGACAACTGACAAAGTCAACATGGATATTTATGAACTGGTGATACGTGTACTTCTCTTATTAAATTCAAATAGAAAATTTACGTTTAGAGCATGTGAAAATTGACGTTAAATCTTAAAAAGTTTCAAAAGTTAATTTAAAATATGAACTTATTTTGAGACAATTTGTTCTTTTCATGTTTTTTTGCAAATCAGAATTGCTGACAGAAGGTGCAGACCTCAGTAAACCTGTGGATATATTTGCTATTGGCTTTGAGGAAATGGTGGATCTAAATGCCAGTAATATAGTAAAAGTGAGGTAAGTTACAGAGTTTTAAAAGTTAAATTTCTTAAACAGGTATTGAACTACTTTATTGGAGTACCGAACATCTCAGTATCAAAATGTCTGTACCCTCTAAGTTTAGTAGACCTTTTACACTCTGGAGTTGGGTGGTTGGTTATGAACATGTTTTCCTATACATTGCTTTGGAATTGATTTCAAACATATTAGTATCTTCTTATGTTATTGTAAACACACAATTGTTTATTAGGACTAGGTCAAATATAGACGATATGGTGATTAAAATAAAATCTATAATAAAAATTATTGTTTTTTTATTTCAGTACTACAAATGCAAGAGAATGGCAGAAAGAACTACAGAAGGTCATTTCACGGGACAACAAATATGTCATACTGACCAGTGTCCAGTTAGTGGGAGTGGTGTTGTACGTCTTCATTAGGCCACATCTGGCACCATGTATCAGGTATGTTATGTTGACCAGCGTCCAGTTAGTGGAAATAGTGTTGTTCATCTGTGTAGACTCCTGTCATTATTTGTCAGAATGAGTTGCTACAGTTCAAGTGCAGTTGTGGTATAGTTGTGACTAGTCATGTGTAGTTGTGGTATAGTCGTGACTAGTCATGTGTAGTTGTGGTATAGTTGTGACTAGTCATGTGTAGTTGTGGTATAGTTGTGACTAGTCATGTGTAGTTGTGGTATAGTTGTGACTAGTCATGTGTAGTTGTGGTATAGTTGTGACTAGTCATGTGTAGTTGTGGTATAGTTGTGACTAGTCATGTGTAGTTGTGGTATAGTTGTGACTAGTCATGTGTAGTTGTGGTATAGTTGTGACTAGTCATGTGTAGTTGTGGTATAGTTGTGACTAGTCATGTGTAGTTACCAGGGGTGTACAATTTTATGTATAAGAGTTTTAGTCTGTAGACATGTTTTAAAAAATTATACTAAAATGTAACTTAATCTACACTTTTATAGAAATATTGAGAATTATCACTCGCACTGACATCTATAAAATTTACCTATCCAGGAATTGGCTAACACAATTGTATACCCCTGGTTACTTATTATCAGACCTCAGTCAAGGGCAAAGAAATTTTCATGTAAGTAGAAATCTATGAATTACTGCAGAACCCAATAACATGGAAAACATTATGTGACATACAAACAAGATATGGGATTATTCCTATCACTGTTACAATACAGACCTGTACAAAATTCTTCGTAACTGTTTATCATTCAGGGATGTGGCAGTGGACCAGGTCAAGACTGGTATGGGGGGTGCGGCCGGTAACAAAGGGGGTGTGGCCATTCGCTTCCTCTATAACAGCACGTCCATGTGTTTTATATGTGCCCATCTGGCTGCTGGTCAGTCACAGATCAACGACCGTAACAACGACTTCCACGAGATCGCCAGGAAGGCTGCGTTCCCTATGGTATGTCAGACTTTGAGATAAAAAAAAGTATGTGACTACCAGCTTATTTAAGTCTAAACTCATTTCTAGGCTTTATTTTTTAAATCACGTTAAAGTAGCAACCGTTGAGGGAAATCGCAAGGGGGTAATATTATTATACAAAGAAATATTTCTTTTGAAGCTTAATTTAGAAGTTTTCTTTAATGCGATTTCTTATTTGTGTATCTCTGAAATTTCTAATTTCATCTTCAAACACATCTTTTAAAAATATTAAGTATTTTATAAGCATTTCAACATTTGTCTCTGTTGTTGATGTATTTGTTATCAAACGTGTAACTGTCGCTTCATTAACACATCAACCATAACTCATTATGGATCAAGCTTTGTTAGCCTAACAAACAGGAGAAGTCAAATTATCTAATTAAAATTTGTGGAATTTACTAACAAAAATCTGATTATTGTTTTTGGGTCCGATATATAATTACTTTGGCTTTAATAATTACAAGCTTAACAAATGATTTTAAAAATCCTAAACAAGCTTGATACATCTGAGTCTAAAGCTGTAAGATTTCCTCAACTTTGAAAACTATTCACTCAACTTTTCATATCTTTTGTAAATACTGGTTACTTTTATCTTGTTAGTATGTAAATATGTCTGTTCATACAATTCATGAATATGCTTCAATACATGAATATTTAACAACTGATGATTCATATAAAAATTCATGCATATGTAATAACAACTAATGGATATATAACACATTCCTAACAAGTGACTTTTCTTCCACATCACCAGGAGCAGTGCATGGTATGGTTTTTACCTCTAAGCACGTTACCATAGAAACAAGCATTTTGATGAATCAGATGATAGAATCAATGTTGTTGACATTCTTGTATGTAACTGAAATGTCCGACTCGTGCTTGCTGCCCCCTTCTAACATGGCCAGTGTATTGTACTAAGGCATCCCTCCATAAATACAATATGAATGTTGAAAATGGACATACAGTGTATTTTATTTTTATTCTTTTCCTTGATATTTTCTTATGGCATTTAAACAGTAATCACAGAAACTGTTTTATTGTATTATTGTGTGTGCTGGAAAATATTTGCAGCCTTCTAGAATGTGAAAAAAATACAATATTGTCCAATATACAGTACTTTGTTTTATTTCTGTAATTTTTTGTTTGTTTCGTAATTGGAATGTTTATTTTCAAATGTATTTATTTATACAGTCTTCAGTATCGTAGCATATTAATTCTATATTTTCCAATACCTGTGTGAGTATGTTGTCAATACAGCTGTATCCCATATACATGTAACTCTATATAATATTGGATGGTTCTAGCCAAATCTGTGATACTAAGGCTGAGACAGCTGTAAGACATTGACGACCACATTACTGTACAGTAATGATGCTACTGTTTACTACTCAGAGGATGTCTTTCAAAATGAGCACCAAAAGAATTCTGCATTTTTTGATATAAATAAGATTATTAAAGTCTATTAAATTAATAATAAAAACAACCCTTTAAGGATATGTTATTTATCGGGATATTAAAGAATAAAGAAGAATTACCCCTTCTGTATGTATGCTTAGTCTTCATGTGACCTCAGAAGGAGATCAATTCATCAACATCACATTTCATAATCAGATTATAAGGATTGATCTTTATAACCTTATGTGACCATTTCCTGTCATGGTCAATCATCCTGCATACCTTTGAATATCCAGACAACGGCCCATGTACCTGAATCAAGAAACAATGGCATTACCTCTACTTCATTGCAATCAAAGAAACAATGGCATTACCTCTACTCCCCTGTCATCAAAGAAACAATGGCATTACCTCTACTCCCCTGTCATCAAAGAAACAATGGCATTACCTCTACTCCCCTGTCATCAAAGAAACAATGGCATTACCTCTACTCCCCTGCCATCAAAGAAACAATGGCATTACCTCAACTCCCCTGCCATCAAAGAAACAATGGCAGTACCTCTACTCCCCTGTCATAAAAGAACCAATGGCATTACCTCTACTCCCTGCTCATAAAAGAAACAATGGCATTACATCTACTTCCCTGTCATCAAAGAAACAATAGTGTTACCTCTATTTCCCTGCCATCAAAGAAACAATGGTGTTACCTCTATTTCCCTGCCATCAGATAAACAATGGTGTTACCTCTACTTCATTGCAATCAAAGAAACAATGGCATTACCTCTACTTCATTGCAATCAAAGAAACAATGGCATTACATCTACTCCCCTGCCACCAAAGAAACAATGGCATTACAATTACCTCCCTGTCATCAAAGAAACAATGGCATTACCTCAACTCTTCTGTCATCAAAGAAACAATTGCATTACCTCTACTCCCCTGCCATCAAAGAAACAATGGCATTACTTTTACTCCCCTGCCATAAAAGAAACAATGGCATTACCTCAACTCCCCTGTCATAAAAGAAACAATGGCATTACCTCTATTTCCCTGTCATAAAAGAAACAATGGCATTACCTCTATTTCCCTGTCATAAAAGAAACAATGGCATTACTTCTACTCCCCTGCCATTAAAGAAACAATGGCATTACCTTAACTCCCCTGTCATAAAAGAAACAATGGCATTACCTCTATTTCCCTGTCATAAAAGAAACAATGGCATTACCTCTATTTCCCTGTCATCAAAGAAAGAATGGCATTACCTCAACTTCCCTGTCATAAAAGAAACAATGGCATTACCTCAACTCCCCTGTTATCAAAGAAACAATGGAATTACCTCAGCTTCCCTGTCATCATAGAAACAATGGCATTACCGCTACTCCCCTGTCCTCAAAGAAACAATGGCATTACATCTAATCCCCTGCCATCAAAGGAAGGTGTGCACATCATTAAGGTTCATGGTTACTACTTTAACCCTAAAACTGCCCGTCTTCTATAGATAGTAATTATCATATATTTTACATATATGTTCAGCTATTTCTATTATATCCTGAATCTTGCATCACTGACCCAGGAAATCATCCAGGCTTTACTTAGGACAGATATTCATTTTCATCTGCAATAAAATGTATCTAGTTTGATATCATAGTATGCTGTCCAAGCTGACACAGGTGTTCAGAGGTGTCATGACATCAGTACACTGTCCACGCTGACACAAGTGTTCAGTGGTGTCATGACATCAGTACACTGTTCATGCTGACACAGGTGTTCAGTGGTATCATGACATCAGTTCACTGTCCACGCTGACACAGGTGTTCAGTGGTGTCATGACATCAGTTCACTGTCCACGCTGACACAGGTGTTCAGTGGTGTCATGACGTCGGTTCACTGTCCACGCTGACACAAGTGTTCAGTGGTGTCATGACATCAGTACACTGTCCACGCTGACACAGGTGTTCAGTGGTGTCATGACATCAGTACACTGTCCACACTGACACAGGTGTTCAGTGGTGTCATGACATCAGTACACTGTCCACACTGACACAGGTGTTCAGTGGTGTCATGACATCAGTACACTGTCCACACTGACACAGGTGTTCAGTGGTGTCATGACATCAGTACACTGTCCACACTGACACAGGTGTTCAGTGGTGTCATGACATCAGTACACTGTCCACACTGACACAGGTGTTCAGTGGTGTCATGACATCAGTACACTGTCCACACTGACACAGGTGTTCAGTGGTGTCATGACATCAGTACACTGTCCACACTGACACAGGTGTTCAGTGGTGTCATGACATCAGTACACTGTCCACACTGACACAGGTGTTCAGTGGTGTCATGACATCAGTACACTGTCCACACTGACACAGGTGTTCAGTGGTGTCATGACATCAGTACACTGTCCACACTGACACAGGTGTTCAGTGGTGTCATGACATCAGTACACTGTCCACACTGACACAGGTGTTCAGTGGTGTCATGACATCAGTACACTGACCACACTGACACAGGTATGCAGTTGTGTTAACATTGTTATACCCCCTGCAAAGAAGTTATTACATTTCTTTTATCATTCTTGCATTCTTATTACCTTTAATAATATCACCTGCAAGCATTAGCATTTCAATGCTGAAGTAACATCTTTTAGGTTTTGAGTTAATAGCATATTTATTGTGTATTTTAAAATATGCATTTCATTAAATTCAGTCAGGCAACCACCATACAAAGGTAAAAGAGTTTCAAATTAACCTGCTTTCCTACAAAAGTAACTACAGTGAGTGCGTCGAATGCCTTTCCCATTCCTGCCCATCTTTTTCTAGCATCAGTGCTTATTTGATAAAGACAGATTCACATACAATACATGTACCTGGGTATAGAGAAATGATGTTTTAGGAAAACATTATATGATGATAATATCATATTGATCAACAGTAGATTCCTGTAGAATCCAATGTACTTACCATATTTGACCAAAAGAACACCCCATCCTTCATAAACTCACCTTTCCTTTTTGAATTTCATGTGCAGGCATCCCATCCCTTAATCACTATTTACCAAATTACTTCAGAAAGGTGTTTCCATGAATGTTTTTTGAGAATTATGGAAGAGGAGTCTGCAATCTTTTCGATTTTCTCAAATTCCTTTATGCACAGGGCAGTTATTTTGTGAAATTTGGTATAAGGAATTGTGATACCAGTAGCAATACCTGTCACCAGTCCCTGGATGTTTCAAAATGTTTTCAATCACTTCAACTGATTGTTATCATTATGAGGCAAAAACTGCTTCATCACCTCATCGCTCTTGACTTTTCCACCACAGCCATTTTGACAGGGTTGCTGCCTGTCAGTATACCCTGCCCGCCATGCATCTTCCTCATCTCCAATGCCAATCAGTCCAAACAGTCGGTATACCCTGCCCTCCATCTTCATCATCCCCAATGCCAATCAGTCCAAACAGTCAGTATACACTGCCCTCCATCTTCCTCATCTCCAATGCCAATCAGTCCAAACAGTCAGTATACCCTGCCCACCATCTTCCTCATCTCCATTGACAATCAGTCCAAACAGTCAGTATACCCTGCCCACCATCGTCCTCATCCCCAATGCCAGTGTCATTGACCTCAGCTGACATCCTCAGCAGATCACTTTAACAAACCTGCGAATACCCTGCTGACCACTTCCTCAAACAAGCACCACATATTCTGTTTATGTGTATTTCATTTCAACAAATTTTTGACAAAGTTGATACAAGTCAATTGGATGGAATAACAGGCAAAGCCTATATAAATTCTCTCCAGCGGTGGCTAAATTAATGGATTCTATTATTTTTATTTGATTAAGTTAATACATCAATTTTGAAATGAAAATTATAAAAAAATAAAAAAATAAAGGGATGTTACTCCTTCTTAATTAACATAACTGAAATACAAATACATTCACACTTCTCACATCACACACAAAACACTTCCACAGGTATTATTTATTTTTATAACATTTTACAATTGTATATAAGCTATATAGCTATCAAATCACACAGATATTGGCAGACATTGACCAAAAGTCCATGTGCAAATATATGCACAGGTCACAGTCGCCAAAACTGTTAAGGTATTGTAGTTTAATATGAAAATAGATAGCTAGTCTATGTGTAATTCAATGTATAAGATGGAAACTGTAAAACAAGACAGATTGAACAAATCTTACAACAAACAACAACAAACAAACATGCTCAACTTAAAACTCCTATGTCCGTAGAAGAATAACATTTATAGAAAAGTAGGTAAAGTTACTTATTTGTGGAGTATAATTGGAATAGGAATAGTAAAGTATAAAAGTATAAAGTATAAGGTCATGGCTGGTTAGATCATATAGAGATTAAAACGCCTAGATTTACCAATAAATAACTGTACATCATTAAGTAACTGTCTGTTTGTTAGTCCATCACAATCAGGACAGCCTTGTAGAAAAATGTTTGTATCAATATGGTTATGATTTCCATAATTATCAACAGAAGTAAATAAAGTAAGTCTGAGATCATTATACAATGGACATTCAAGAAAGTAATGGAAAACTGTTTCATATTCAAAAGAGCAAGCACAAGAGGGACAGTCAGTTAAATGGTCATTGAATAAATCAAAATTTAAATTGCTACATAAGTTTCTAAGTTGACAAAGAATAATGTTGGCCCGTCTATCACCTTCAGTTTTAAAAATTAAGGTTGATTCATTATCGATAATAATATCTTTATTTAGTTTGTGTTTAAAGGTTGCAAGAGTTGGGGAGTTTAAGAGATCATTATCAGTAGTGTTAGTTGTGCGGCACATTAGAGGGAGGAAACTGTCAAAATAATTGTTAGTTCTGCATATTGGTGGATTAAACAGTCTTGTTTGTCTGAGGAAATAGGGATTATTGTTTTGATTGTTAATGAAAGGATTTAAGACATCTTGTAAGTATTGAGGTGACAGCCCATGCATTATTTTATACATCATTATGTGTTTGTGTTTATTTCTTCTTGTTGACAGAGTTTCCCAACCAAGTTCATTATAAAGTTTATTATGAGATGTTCCAGATCGAAGTCCAGTAATGATTCTGGCTGCTTCTAATTGAATAGATTCTAGAAGTTCTTTAGATTGTTGAGTGCAATTATCCCATACTATGTCTGCATATTCCAAAATTGGCCTGATAAATGCTATATAAATTTTAATTAATGATTTACGATTGACTTTAGTTTTAATGTAACGAAGAATATTTAATCTACTATAAGCTTTTTCATATATATTCAGAATGTGTTGATTCCAAGATGCATCATCTTTTAAAGTCAGTCCTAAGTGTGTATGTGCTGTTGAGTCAGTGATTTGGCTGTTTTGGAAAGTTATTGGAGGGTGATGTTTGTTATGTTTTCTAGAAAATATTACAGATTTAGTTTTGGTAGGGTTGAACTTGATGTCCCATATACCTGCCCATTCACCAATGTTAGAGAGATCATTTGTCAGAACTTGTGCTGCATGTGCTGGGTTTTCATCTATAATTACATATAAGGAGGTGTCATCTGCAAAAAGCTTAATATTAGTTGAAACATTGTCAGTGATGTCATTAATATAAAGGAGAAATAGTAAAGGTCCCAGAACAGATCCCTGAGGTACCCCTGCATTTATACCCTTAAACTGTGAGTGATAACCTTCAGTGGTGACTCTTTGCAATCTATCAGAGAGATAATTTTCAAACCATAAAAGTAAATTTCCATCAATTCCATACGTTTTAAGTTTATGTAAGAGACCTTTATGCCACACCCTATCAAAAGCTTTGCTAATATCACAAAAAATAAATCTGAGCTCCTTCCCCTGGTCCATATTGCTAACAATTTCATTATAAATAAATAGTAGTTGATTAACAGTAGAATCACCTGGTATAAAGCCAGACTGGTGCTTAGTTAAGATAGAATTTTCTATTAGATAGTTGTAAAGATTTTTGAAGACAATTTTTTCCATTATTTTACTGAAACATGAGGTTATTGAGATTGGTCTATAATTTAAAACATCATTTGATGAACCCTTCCCTTTATATATAGCATTTATATTTGCTTGTTTCCATCTATTTGGTAATATTCCTGATTCAAGTGTTTTATTAAATAAAAGACAGAGGGGTAATGCAAGAGAGTTACTCAATTTTTTTACAACTTTAGGGATTACACCATCAGGGCCAGGGGGTTTATTTACATTAAGAATATTAATTTGGTCAGATACATCTTGTTCAGTGATATGAATGTTAGTTAGTGAGTATGGAGTATAGGGCTGTGCTGTCTGAGGTAATTCAAGGTCAGGGGATGACGAAGAGATATTAGTAAAGTGATTGTTAAGGATTTCTGCTTTGTCAAGAGGATGGTGAATGAATTGGTCATCATGTTCAAGAGGAGGAATAGAAGAGGATTTATTGGAGAAATTAGTAATAGATTTTGCAATTTTCCACCATTTGTCTGGGGAGACCATGTTTTCATTAAGACAATTTTCAAGTTTTTGGATATAATTTGCTTTTGCCTCACGAATCAAGTCAATAGTTTCATTCCTGAGTATACGAAATCTTTCCCAGTAGTGCGGATTATTTGTTACTTTGGCCTTTCTATGAATTCTATTACGTTGTCTCATTTTCAGCCTAATAATGTTATTCATCCATGGCTTATCATTTGGGCGTACAGTAATAACTTTGGTAGGGATGAAACTATTGACTTGTTCTATGATTGAATTAATTATGAATGAGTTAAATGCATCAGAGTCCAGATTTAATGACAAATTCAACCAATCAATATTAAGAAGAGCATTATTCATACTTTCAAAATCAGCTTCATCATATTTCAAGATAGTTTTCTTATAATTCACTTGTTTAAATACAGTAAAAGAGATTTGGGCATGAACTGATGAATGGTCACTACAGAATGGTGGTGATACATAAGTATTTTTAATTAAGTTTAGGTTGTTAGTAAAGATGACATCAATAGAAGTGGCACTAGCAGGTGTTATTCGTGTAGGTTCCTTAATAAGACTAGTTAAGTTGTGCTTTATAAGGAGTCTTGATAAATGATCATTAAGCGGTACATTAAGCATATTAATATTAATATCACCTGTAAGTATAATATCCAATGAAGTATCAGAAGCTCTTGTTAAGGTATCATCAAGTTTATCCCAGTATTCAATATTACTATCTGGTCTATATATACACCCGAGAAGAAATTTATGAGTATTAATTAAAACTTCTAACCAGAGTAATTCAACATCATCCCTTTCCAAGTCCAGCCTTCTTTTTGTTACAACAGTATTTTTATGATACACTATAACCCCACCCCCCGGACCAGTAGTTCTATCTTTTCTATGAGGAATTGGATTAAAGGGTTGTACTTGAATGTCAAAATCAGATATCAGGGGATTTAGGTGAGATTCAGTTATACATAAAATATCATTATTTTCAAACTCGGCTTCAATAAGTGGGGTTTTATTTCTGAGAGATCGCACATTGAGATGAACCAGATTCAGATTATGTTTAGGTCCAGGATTACTTTCGATGTCACAACAACAGGATAACACTATAAAATGCGAAACAAGAAAGTAAGACATATTGATAAAATAGGTAAACATGTCAATTAAGTGTAAATAAGAGTAATGAAAGCCATGACATAACTCCATACAAATATGTATGCGCTTAGAAAACTGCCAGTGATCAACCGTTACCATAGTCCAGAAAACCTGGAAATCTAATATATTACCCATTGTCAATGTAGAAAAAGCGGGCAGAGTGGGCTCGGTCGATCATCCAGCTGTTAAAAATTTCTTCAGGCGGGACATATGAACAGTAGTTGAGCAAGAATGTGAGATAACAATAAAACAGACAGGACAATACAACTTCCATACACACACTCACAACAATAACACACAAACACATGTTTATGTGTATCTACTCTTAATGCCACATGTAATAATGATAATAATAATTGGAGGTTCTTATATACCGCTTTATCACAACCTAGTTTGTAGGTCATCTCAAAGCGGTTCACAAATTATGTTTAACATGTTTAGGATGCTATTGTTTTAAGATAATTTTGTAGACGTTATATAGGGAATTATAAAGATGAATTTCAAAGGGAGTAAATCATTTACCATTAAATGATATGGAATCATGTTTCATTTTTCATTTTTTGTGAAACTCATAATAAAAATTTTGAAGCCAACCGAACTGGTGCATGTTGCAGAAAATTGGTTATGGTAAATAAGGCATGTTTCCTGAATGTGTGCAGAGTTGATAGCCAGATAGTCAGGTATTAATGTTGTGATAGTGATACTAACCCTGATGTATACATATCTGTGGTAGAATTTAACATTTACAAATATTTTTTCAAATTCTTATTTTGGGTAATGTTCATCATGTATTTTCCCCTGTGACAAACAAGACTTTGAAAACAGTTAGATGATGGTGCAGGTCAATTGAAATCTACATTGATTAAAAGATATACATTTTTCAATGTTATATAAAATTTCAAAGTTTTATTTATCTATAAAAAATACCCATTGCAATAAAACCTGTGTAATTAAACAGTCTGTGAAAGGCAACATATCTGTCAGATTATTCAGGATTTTAGAATATACAGGTTTCTTTTGAAATGTTTTATAAGGAATGGGATTACAGTATATTGAAATTGGTTTGGATAAGACAGGATATCAGAATATGTGTATTCATATTTTGACAAACTAAGTAAAAAAAAGATCTGAATCACTTAAACTCTTTAAGTACCTGATATTGTTCGTTGTCTGAAACTGAGGAATTATAAAATACACTGTTTCATTGATGTCATATAGTATTCTAAGGACCAGAGGCTGGTTTTGTTGACGCCATATTTACTCATTTACCTCCTATATATACTATTTACTAAAGTTGTCATTAATTTTGATTTTAATAAACAGGAAAGCGTTTTGTGATTAGACTTTAATTAGTGTAGACATTTCTTGAAAAACACAAGTTAGATATTGTAAACAGCCTCATAAGAATACTAATAGCTAGATCATTATTCCAGGTTTTGTATTGGAAACAAAAAGATTGTTCAGGCTATCCAGTTATATTGTGTGATGTTATTGTAACTGTCTGAATCTGATTACTGTTGTTTGCAGGGTAAGACCATTTCCTCACATGACTATCTGTTTTGGTGTGGGGACTTCAACTACAGAATAGACCTGGCCAACGAAGAGGTGAAAAAACTTATAGTGGATCACAACTGGGGTGCCCTCGTGGAGTTTGATCAGCTCAACATACAGAGGAAGGAGGGAAAGGTAAGCTAGGGAGGTGATTGTTGGTGCCCTAATGAGGTATGATCAATCAATAGAGCAAGGAGGGCAAGGTAAGCTAGGGAGGTGATTGTGGGTGTACTCATGGAGTTTGATCAATCAATAGAGCAAGGAGGGCAAGGAAAGCTAGGGAGGTGATTGTGGGTGTCCTCATGGAGTTTGATCAATCAATAGAGGAAGGAGGGCAAGGTAAGCTAGGGAGGTGATTGTTGGTGTCCTCATGGAGTTTGATCAATCAATAGAGCAAGGAGGGCAAGGTAAGCAGGGGAGGTGATTGTGGGTGCCCTCATGGAGTTTGATCAATCAATAGAGCAAGGAGGGCAAGGTCAGCTAGGGAGGTGATTGTGGGTGTCCTCATGGAGATTGATCAATCAATAGAGCAAGGAGGGCAAGGTAAGCTAGTGAGGTGATTGTGGGTGTCCTCATGGAGTTTGGTCAATCAATAGAGCAAGGAGGGCAAGGTAAGCTAGTGAGGTGATTGTGGGTGTCCTCATGGAGTTCGATCAATCAATAGAGCAAGGTGGGCAAGGTAAGCTAGGGAGGTGATTGTTGGTGTCCTCATGGAGTTTGATCAATCAATAGAGGAAGGAGGGCAAGGGAAGCTAGGGAGGAGATTGTGGGTGCCCTCATGGAGTTTGATCAATCAATAGAGGAAGGAGGGCAAGGTAAGCTAGGGAGGGGATTGTGGGTGTCCTCATGGAGTTTGATCAATCAATAGAGCAAGGAGGGCAAGGTAAGCAGGGGAGGTGATTGTGGGTGCCCTCATGGAGTTTGATCAATCAATAGAGCAAGGACGGCAAGGTAAGCTAGTGAGGCGATTGTGGGTGTCCTCATGGAGTTTGATCAATCAATAGAGGAAGGAGGGCAAGGTAAGCTAGGGAGGTGATTGTGGGTGTCCTCATGGAGATTGATCAATCAATAGAGCAAGGAGGGCAAGGTAAGCTAGTGAGGTGATTGTGGGTGTCCTCATGGAGTTTGGTCAATCAATAGAGCAAGGAGGGCAAGGTAAGCTAGTGAGGTGATTGTGGGTGTCCTCATGGAGTTCGATCAATCAATAGAGCAAGGTGGGCAAGGTAAGCTAGGGAGGTGATTGTTGGTGCCCTCATGGAGATTGATCAATCAATAGAGCAAGGAGGGCAAGGTAAGCTAGGGAGGGGATTGTGGGTGTCCTCATGGAGTTTGATCAATCAATAGAGCAAGGACGGCAAGGTAAGCTAGTGAGGCGATTGTGGGTGTCCTCATGGAGTTTGATCAATCAATAGAGGAAGGAGGGCAAGGGAAGCTAGGGAGGAGATTGTGGGTGCCCTCATGGAGTTTGATCAATCAATAGAGGAAGGAGGGCAAGGGAAGCTAGGGAGGAGATTGTGGGTGCCCTCATGGAGTTTGATCAATCAATAGAGCAAGGAGGGCAAGGTCAGCTAGTGAGGTGATTGTGGGTGTCCTCATGGAGTTCGATCAATCAATAGAGCAAGGTGGGCAAGGTAAGCTAGGGAGGTGATTGTGGGTGCCCTCATGGAGATTGATCAATCAATAGAGCAAGGAGGGCAAGGTAAGCAGGGGAGGTGATTGTGGGTGCCCTCATGGAGTTTGATCAATCAATAGAGCAAGGAGGGCAAGGTCAGCTATGGAGGTGATTGTGGGTGTCCTCATGGAGTTGGATCAATCGATAGAGCAAGGAGGGCAAGGTAAGCTAGGGAGGTGATTGTGGGTGTCCTCATGGAGATTGATCAATCAATAGAGCAAGGAGGGCAAGGTAAGCAGGGGAGGTGATTTTGGGTGCCCTCATGGAGTTTTATCAATCAACAGAGTAAGGAGGGCAAGGTAAGCTATGGATGTGATTGTGGGTGCCTTCAAGGAATTTGATCAGTTCAACATACAGAGCAAGGAGGGCAAGGTAAGCATGGAAGGTGCTTCTGGGTACCTTCAAGGAGTCTTATCAATCATTAGAGGAGGGCAAGGTAAGCTATGGAGGTAATTGTGGTTGCCCTCATGAGGTTTGATCAGTACAACATACAGAGGAAAGAGGGCAAGGTATGAAGAGAAGGTGACAGTGGACTATATTTCAGTGAAGCTTAAAGTAAGTCCTAACTTGATATAACAGGGAATGGATGTCCTATAAGATATAAGTTTTTGGAAGGGAGATGTGATCCATAAGTTGTGGAGGAGGTTGAAGGACAAGAAAGGACACATACTTCGATGGAAAAGTTATAACAAACATTTTGTGTACATAAAACCTGCATTAATTTTGTTGCAGGCATTTGCAGGTTTCCATGAGGGTCGAACAGATTTTGCACCTACATACAAGTATGACCTGTTTTGTGACGACTATGACACAAGTGATAAGCACAGGACACCTGCATGGACTGACCGCGTCTTGTGGCGTCGCAAACCCCTCATCCGACACAATGCCCAGTGTAAGTTAGATTATATTGTGTCACAAACCCCTCATACAACACAATGTCCAGTGTAAGTTAGAAAATATTGTGTCACAAAACCTTTATACAACACAATTTGTCACAAAGTCCTCATACAACACAATGCCCAGTGTAAGTTAGATTATATTGTGTCACAAACCCCTCATACAACACAATGTCCAGTGTAAGTTAGATAATATTGTGTCACAAAACCTTTATACAACACAATTTGTCACAAATTCCTCATACAACACAATGCCCAGTGTAAGTAAGATTGTGTTGTGTCACAAATCCCTCATCCGACACAATGCCCAGTGTAAGTTAGATTTTATTGTGTCACAAACCCCTCATACAACACAATGTCCAGTGTAAGTTAGATTATATTGTGTCACAAAACCTTTATACAACACAATTTGTCACAAATTCCTCATACGACACAATGCCCAGTGTAAGTTAGATTATATTGTGTCACAAATCCTTTATCCAACACAATTTTGTCACAAACCCCTCATGACATGATGTCCAGTGTAAGTTAGATTGTGTTGTGTCACAAATCCTTTATACAACACAATGTCTAGTGTAAGTTAGATTGTGTTGTGTCACAAAACCTTTATACAAAACAAAGTGTCACGAACCCATCAAATGACACAATGTCTATTGTAAGTTGGATAACGTTGTGTCACAAATCCTTTAAACAACACAATGTCTAGTGTAAGATAGATTGTGTTGTGCCACAAATCCTTTATACAACACAATGTCTAGTGTAAGTTAGATTATGTTGTGTCACAAATCCTTTAAACAACACAACGTCTAGTGTAAGATAGATTGTGTTGTGTCACAAATCCTTTATACAACACATTGTGTCACAAACCCCTCATATGACACAATGTCTATTGTAAGTTAGATTGTGTTGTGTCACACACCCCTCATATGACACAATGTCTATTGTAAGTTGGATAACGTTGTGTCACAAATCCTTTAAACAACACAATGTCTAGTGTAAGTTAGATTGTGTTGTGTCACAAAACCTTTATACAACACAATGTGTCACAAACCCATCATATGACACAATGTCTAGTGTAAGTTAGATTGTGTTGTGTCACAAATCCTTTATACAACACAATATCTAGTGTAAGTTAGATAGTGTTGTGTCACAAATCCTTTATACAACACAATGTCTAGTGTAAGTTAGATTATGTTGTGTCACAAATCCTTTAAACAACACAATGTGTCACAAACCCCTCATATGACACAATGTCTATTGTAAGTTGGATAACGTTGTGTCACAAATCCTTTGAACAACACAATGTCTAGTGTAAGATAGATTGTGTTGTGTCACAAATCCTTTATACAACACAATGTGTCACAAACCCCTCATATGACACAATGTCTATTGTAAGTTGGATAACGTTGTGTCAAAAAATCCTTTAAACAACACAATGTCTAGTGTAAGATAGATTGTGTTGTGTCACAAACCCCTCATACGACACAATGTCTAGTGTAAGTTAGATTGTGTTTTGTCACAAACCCCTCAAATGACACAATGTCTAGTGGAGGTTAGATTGTGTTGTGTCACAAATCCTTATACAACACAATGTCTAGTGGAAGTTAGATTGTGTTTTGTAACAAACCCCTCAAATGACACAATGTCTAGTGGAAGTTAGATTGTGTTGTGTTACAACACAATGTCCAGTGTAAGTTAGATAATATTGTGTCTCAAACCCCTCATACAACACAATGTCTAGTGGAGGGTAGATTGTGTTGTGTCACAAAGCCTTATACAACACAATGTCGAGTGTAAGTTAGATTGTGCTGTGTCACAAATCCTTATACAACACAATGTCTAGTGTAAGTTAGATTGTGTTGTGTCACAAACCCCTCATACGATATAATGTCCAGTGTAGATTGTGTGCAAGTCCCTATTATGACACAATGCATAGTGTAAGCTAGATCAGGAGGCATCGCAAAAATCTAATATGACACAAGGCCTTGTGTCAGTTAGAAGTCTTGGGGTTATCACCTGAGGTTTTGACATTTTGACAGGCCTGCACAGATGCAATTTTGATAATGCTGAATATTAATGCCTTGGTGAGAACTCCAGGCCCCAGAAGAAGTGTTTATTTGGTCCACATTTGGAAATTTGGAATGAAGTCTGTAAACCTGAGGTCAGACTTATCATAAACACAAAGTAATGGGTTATATTATGCATAATTGGCATTATACTGCCACAATTTATCCAACCATTTTTTGGCAGTATAAAGGGATTTGGTAATGGACCAGGAGACCATTGAAATCAAATATGTTCGCCGTTTGTGAGGCAGCAGATCAGATAAGGAGTATCTTATTGAAATAATACTGTCATATATTTTTGATTGTTTCTTGTTTCTGATTGGTTATGTATTTATATAACAGTGTTGGAGTCAGAGGAAAGCTGGAATCAGGGGAGATTACTCTTGTACGACAGGGCAGAACTACGCACCTCAGACCACAGGTGAGGGGTCATTATTATTCTTTAGTCATTCGCAAAACCTCTTGCAGGTTCAGGGAAATAATAGGCTTCCTGTAACCACTCCATGTTGTAACAGGTGTCTGATGTGGGATCCCCTGCAGAATCAGGGGTTTCTTACTGTGTCTTCTACCTCTACCTATAGGTATTGTAGAAATTTTCATTTTATAAATGTCTGAATTGTCATTTAAGTTTTTGTCTAAGGTAGTAATTTGATAGATTCACAAAGCAATTTTGAAAGAAAATTTGATGTCACGACATGATTTTCCCCCAATAAGTCTGATAATATGATGAAAAGACCAGAACAGTTTCTTATTGGAAAACTAATATTTGTTGGAGTTCTTGGTGTTAAATGCTTTAATAGTAACATTTTAAGTTGTTAGATGTATTTGAGAGGCTGTACAACAGAAAGGTAAATTATTTACATCTATGGAGCAGATTCAATTCAGTGAAATGTTGGTTCAGAGAAGCATGTACTAAATTCCTTTGTTGTTCCTCAGACCAGTGTTGGCACTGCTGGATATAGACGTCCTGGAGGTCAAAGAAGAGAAGAAGGCCGAGACATTCCGAGAGGTCATCAGTCAACAGGGACCATCAGACGGTACAGTCATTGTGTCGACTGCGGACGGCGAGTTTGACGATGACATGGTAGACGCAATTGTGGAGACATTTACTGAACTAGGGGACATAATTCTGGTGCGGTTTGTGGAAGAAGACATGTGGCTTATCTTCAGACACGGACAGAGTGCTTTAGCTGCCCTCGGTTATAACCAGCAACAGGTACTTCTCATATCTCTTAAATGTGATTTCATAGGATGGTGACTGTAGCATAAAAAAGATACTTTTCTACAACTGTATCAAACATTCTCTGTAGATAACACTACCCTATATAGCTGTAAATATTGTACATTTTATCATACATTGTATCTTGACCATATGTAAGATGAGCTTCATGCTCAATATGTTATCAAGAATAAATAAAGCCTTTATTATAGTTAAATGATAACCAAAAGAAACACTTGGTGCACCTAGCTGATGTCCTTAAGTATAATTAAAATAAAGTTCAGCTTTCATTAACATGATAACCAACCATCACTCTTTAACCTGTTTTTTTCTATACTTAACAGATAGGGGGGAAACCAGTCACATGTAGACTGAAAACTACAGACTGGAAATCCCAGATAGAACAGGAAATGGCTCTTTGTTCGTCCAACAGTGAAGCCCTCTTTAACACCACAACCAACAGTCTTCTTGGTGAAGACTTCTGTCTACCTGCAATGGACTTTGACTCAGAGGGTATGTTTCACTCAAAGTTTGTAATTTGTTTTTGAGTGATTCCTGAGTTGATATCAGTTGATGATAACTTGGGTGTAAATTTGATTCATGTATAAATTTTAATTGTGGTTAAATTTGACTCATTATCATGATTATACTTTGATATTTTTAGCATTGAATTTTGTTTTTGTTAGGTCTTCAGATTGGTAATGTTTTTAAAAGTTTCAAACTAACACTCTCAATAAAAGCACAATAAAAACACACTGATAGCTACCTTGAGCCTTTTGTACACCTTATTATGTGGCCAGCTCATGGCTCATGCTGCCTCAAACTACAATCTTTCACTGTTTTGTATAGTTCTTAACATAAGGTAAAGAAAGAGCTGTTTTCTGAAAACTAACATGTGTACTGGCGAAGAAGAGTTCCTAACTTGAAACTGTTTTTTCAAACATTTCTGTTGTATGCAGCTTTAAATCATCTTTTTTTGTGACATTCTTTAACTATTCTACTCTAAATTTTAATCTGAATAATATATAAAGGATATACATGTATAATCATAGACAATATAAAAAAAATGTCATTTAATGTGTTACTGAGCACAGAGTGAATATATTTTAGATGAATAGAATCTAGACTAATGATATTGGATATGTTACCAAGTTGTCTTATGATATCATTGAATGGCTCAATTAACAGTATTATTGTATATTCTCACTGTTCGAATATCTGTAAATATCCTTATTTTCATAAAATGTAGTTAGATGTTTGTAAGAAATTGGAACATTCTTTTAACTTTTTTTCTTCCATAGTCGAGTATACTGAACAAGATTTCAGAGATTCCCTTCCCCAATGTCTTGTATTATGGTCAAGATTTTAGGTACTCCCTTCAATGTTGTCTTGTACACTGGACAAGTTTTCAGAGTCTAGTGTTCCCCCAAGTTTAATAAATTGACAAGTAATCAGTAAACAAACAGATGCTCTAATTTTTCAGGAAAACAGAAATACATTGAAGTAATTTAATGTTAAATATTAAAGGAAATGACCTATTGTATTGAAAAAAAAGGTTAAATATTCAGATTTTCACATAAAAAAAGAATTTTCAGATTCTATGGAGTTTTCTGAAAATGGCATGGAAAAAAAGAGCTCATAAAAGAACAACATTGTCTATCTTCAATCTTAAAAAGTATTTGATGTGGTTTCTTTATTTAATTTAACTCGCATTAAAATCAATAAATTTCATTTTAACCCAGGAATATTTAGTGTATTTATTTTATTGTTGGAACTGTATTACTGCTTTCCTGCTGTATTCTACATATGTGCTGTTATTTCTTGATTGTCTCTGCATGGACAGATGATGACGATGATGAGGATCCGACCAAGGAAGTGCCCCTCGCTGTCCCAATCATACCCACTCTGTCGGGAGCTATCACTCCCTCAGGATCTGGTAAGGAAGTCCCCCTCGCTGTCCCAATCATACTCACACTGTCGGGAGCTAACACTCCCACAGGATCTGGTAAGGAAGTGCCCCTCACTGTCCCAATCATACCCACACTGTCGGGAGCTATCACTCCCACAGGATCTGGTAAGGAAGTCCCCCTCGCTGTCCCAATCATACTCACACTGTCGGGAGCTAACACTCCCACAGGATCTGGTAAGGAAGTGCCCCTCACTGTCCCAATCATACCCACACTGTCCGGAGCTAACACTCCAACAGGATCTGGTAAGGAAGTGTCCCTCGCTGTCCCAATCATACCCACAGGATCTGGTAAGGAAGTGGCCCTAGCTGTCCCAATCATACCCACAGGATCTGGTAAGGAAGTGCCCCGCGCTGTCCCAATCATACCCACAGGATCTGGGAAGGAAGTGCCCCTAGCTGTCCCAATCATACCCACAGGATCTGGTAAGGAAGTGCCCCTCGCTGTCCCAATCATACCCACACTGTCGGGAGCTATCACTCCCACAGGATCTGGTAATATTCTCCCTTCTACTTTGAGTCATGTAGATTTCTTTACAATTGAAAAAAGGAATAATATCAACTCAAGAAATTGTATGCATGATACCTTTTATCCTCTGAGCCTTTGTCATGTTATAAGCCACTCTAACTAACATGTACCTTTACTTGTACAGTTGAACTGACCAGGAAGTGTTTGAGGAACTGTGAGCATGGTTTCATGAATCCAACCTCATTCTCAGATTTGAGATTTGTTGTTTTTTGCTAGGTATAATATCTGGATACAAATGTTTACCTTTTTTCCATTTGAATTTTCAAATTTAATTATTTTTTTACATCATTACAGCTTTGTAGCAGTAAATTGTCTATAGTTAACACAGGGGCCGGGTAGTTCTGAGCTGATTAGGGTAGCTTGAATATTCAAAATGAGGATTTCAGAAAATATCTGAAAATTTACAAACATTTTGTCTGTAAATCATTGTTCTGAACCTCTATGGATGTATCTTTAGTTACTTATTTCTATGTTTTTGAATATTTACTAGACTGGGTTAGAAATGTGTGTGAAGTTGCTGTTGAGTTAATAATGTCTAAAATTGTATTACAGAAATTTCATCTTTAATATGTTCAAAAACATTGAAATTCAAAAGGAAAAGATGTCTGGAGATTCAAAATGACAATTTGATGATGAAATAGATATTTGTAAGTTTCATGATACATGTACATATGTATTCACAAAAAAAATCATTTTGTGTTACTGATTAGTACAACTGATCAGGATTTGAAGAGTTGCCCTAGTGCCTGTCCATCCTGCTATTTCAACCTTTGTACACAGATATGATGTTGTTCTGAACCCTTAGGTAGGATCAGTCCCGCCCTGTCAGATGATGGCCTGCTGGATGCACCAGCCCGTCCCCCAGCCCTGGAGAGACCTAAGCCTATGGGAGGGACTGCACGCCCCACTGAACCGAGCAACCTCATAGTACCAGAGAGTGAAATCAAAATTCGAGGGCCCCACTCACCCGAAGTAAATATATATTAACATCTTGTATCAGTCTATCTCGGTGTTTTTAGCTGAAAATCTTATCTTTATCATGTCAGTCAATGTAATGATAAAAATACATTTTTTTCTGGTGAAGATTTCACTATGACTAAGTCGATCAGTCTTACAGTAAAATTTATAGTGAAGATATCACTGAGTATTGCATCTCAAACATAGGGATAGAAAATGATTTACTTGGGAAGTTTTATCATAATCATGCTGGAATTAAAGGATTGGTTTAAGTTAGTGGGTGCTTTCCACTGCACAACTAATCTTGTACCTGTATTGATGAATGATAGAAGGAATGAAATAATATCAAACATTATTTGCAGACAAAGAAAAAAGTTCCACCACAGAGGCCCTCAGCCCCACCGACCAAGCCACCTCCCCCAAAGCGACCGGCTGGGGGCTTCCCAAAACCTGGATCTTCTACGTCGGCAACAGTAGCTAACAACACCACAACCACCAGTAAGAAACAGTCTTCATATTTTTTACTCCTTATATTGAATGCATTAGCTTTTTGATGATTGAAAATGTGACCTCATAATAGAGCAACAAGCCCTGTCATTCATTATGGTAAGATATAGAAGTGATGTGCAGAGATCTAGAGCTGGTGTGGTGAGGTCTAGAGCCGATGAGCCAAGATCTAGAGCCGCTGTGCTGAGATCTAGTGCCAGTGTGCAGAGATCTAGAACCAATAAGTTGAGATCTAGGGCCAGTGTGCTGAGGTCTAGAGCCAGTGTGGTGAGTTCTAAAGTGAGTGAGCTGAGATCTAGAGCCAGTGTGCTGAGGTCTAGAGCCAGTGTGGTGAGTTCAAGAGTCGTTGTGCTGAGATCTAGAGCCGTTGTGCTGAGGTCTAGAGCCTGTGTGCTGAGGTCTAGAGCCACTGTCCTGAGATCTAGAGCCAGTGTGGTGAGGTCAAGAGCTGATGAGCCAAGATCTAGAGCCGTTGTGCTGAGATCTAAAGCCAGATGGCTGAGGTCTAAAGCCAGATGGCTGAGATCTAGAGCCAATATGCTGAGATCTAGAGCCTGTGTGCTGAGATCTAGAGCTGGTGTGGTGAGGTTTAGAGCCAGAATGGTGAGGTCTAGAGCTGGTGTGCTTAGATCTAGAGCCGTTGTGCTGATATCTAGAGCCAGTGTGCCGAGATCAAGAGCTAGTGTGCCAAGATCTAGAGCTTGTGTGCCAAAATCTAGAGCCAGTGTGCCGTGATCTAGAGCCAGTGTGCTGAGATCTAGAACCAGTGTGCCGAGATCTAGAGCCGTTGTGGTGTGAGTCTGTGTGGTGAGATCTATAGTTGGTGTGGTGAGATCTAGAGCCAATAAGCCGAGATCTAGCGCCAGAGTGCTAAGGTCTGTAGCCAGTGTGCTGAGATCTAGCACCAGTGTGCAGAGATCTAGAGCCAGTGTGCTGAGATCTAGAGCCAATGAGCTGAGATCTAGAGCCTGTGTGCTGAGGTCTAGAACCAGTGTGGTGAGGTCTAGAGCTGGTGTGCTGTGATCTAGAGCCAATGTGCTGAGATCTAGAGTATTTGTGCTGAGATCTAGAGCTGGTGTGACGAGGTCTAGAGCTGGTGAGCTGAGATCTAGAGCCTGGGTGCTGAGGTCTAGAACCAGTGTGGTGAGGTCTAGAGCTGGTGTGCTGAGATCTAGAGCTGGTGTGCTAAGGTCTAGCGCCAGTGAGCTGAGATCTAGCGCCGGTGTGCTGAGGTCTAGAACCAGTGTGCTAAGGTCTATAGCCAGTGTGCTGAGATCTAGCACCAGTGTGCAGAGATCTAGAGCTGGTGTGCTGAGATCTAGAGCTGAGCTGGTGTGCTTATATCTAGAGCCAGTGAGCTGAGATCTAGAGCCAATGAGCTGAGATCTAGAGCCTGTGTGCTGAGGTCTAGAACCAGTGTGGTGAGGTCTAGAGCTGGTGTGCTGAGATCTAGAGCCGCTGTGCTGTGATCTAGAGCCAATGTGCTGAGATCTAGAGTATGTGTGCTGAGATCTAGAGCTGTTGTGACGAGGTCTAGAGCCAGTGAGCTGAGATCTAGAGCCTGGGTGCTGAGGTCTAGAACCAGTGTGCTGAGATCTAGAGCCTGTTTGCTGACTGAGGTTTAGAGCTGGTGTGCTGGTATACCTATTACCTAGGCATCAGGGCTCAACATGTGTGGGACCTCTAAAGAAAGTCTTAAAATAATGATATAGAATGTGGTGAAAGTGTTTATTGTCTGCATCAATTCAGTGTTATCGAATGTATGTGAAATAGTTTAGATAAAGAGCAGTTTGAGAGATACTTGTTAGAAGTGACATTACTGTTCTATGGGAAAAAAGTGGAAACATTGCGTGCCAGTAATCAACAGGAGCACTCTTGAACAGCCTTGATCTTCTTTTAATTTTTGCACGATTTACTTCCCCAGTTATTGCATATAATTTTAGCCCACCATCATCAGATGGTGGGATATTCAAATCACCCTGCATCCATGGTCCGTCGTCCGTCCGTCATTCTGTCCGTCCTTAAACAATTATTGTTAGCGCTATTTCTCAGAAAGTACTGGGGAGATCTTTCTCGAATTTCACATGAAGATTCCCCAAGGTCCCTTGTTATGCATATCGTATTTTGGGACTAAACACAAAACCAAGATGGCTGACAGCCAGCAATTTTGAATTTGAGAGTTCAAGTGTTTTAGCACTATTTCTCAAATAGTCCTTTAGGGATCTTACTCAAATTTCACATGAAGGTTCCCCATGGTTCTAAGTTACGAATAACGAATGTTGGGACTGAAAGGAAAACCAAGATGGCTGACATCTTGAATTTAAGAATGAAAGCCTTGTTCGCGTTATTTTTCAGAATGTACAGGAGGGCTCTTTCTCATGAAGGTTTCCCCATGATTCGTAGTTCAGTATTTCAAATTTTGGGGATGATTGGAACACCAAGATGGCCGGCAGGTGGTCGTATTGAATATTGCTCAAAAAGAATTCAAGATATCTTTCTCAAATTTCACATTAGGGTTCCTCTTAGTTCATAGTTATGCATATCAAATTTTTGGACTGATCTGAAAACCAAGGTGCGGGCAGGCAGTCATCTTATTACAGTTTAAGTTTGTCATCTCTATTTCTCAGAATATATTGGAGGAATCTTTCTCAAATTTGATATGTCAGTTCTCCTTGATCTGTAGTTGTACATGTTAACTTTTGAAGTTGATCAAAAGACTGATTAAGATGGCGAACAGGCAAATTGATCAAACAGATCAGAGAAAAGAAGAGAAAAGATCAAACTGACATAGAACTGATGAAGACAGTACGATGGTGGGTGCCAAGATCCCTCTATGATCTCTTTTTAAATACAAAGTCTGACAAATTATAACAACCGATCTCATGAAATACTTTTGGACTATGTTACAGACCAGTCCCCTAAAAGATCTCATCCTGTCCGACAGCCACTGGGATCACGGACCATCAATAAAATAAAATCTAATAAGAAAGACGCCAAGGTAGGATCAGATACAATTTGTTTTGCATGGTAGAATTTAGGAATACTACAATGCGGTAAAAAGTGAACAAAGCAAATAATCCAAAAAAAGTTCTATCTACTCTATTTTTGCATATAGTTTTATTTCGCCAACTGTCCCAGTAGATTTTATCAGGACACTTGAATTTGAAATTGAGAAGATGTTATTTCAGTATTGATAGTTAATGTTTATAGAACTGATAGAAATGTGATGCTTCGCGAATTAACAAAAGGTAAATTCTGGTAAACCAGTTCTAATAAGTGAAAATTTTCCTTCTGAATCCTCAGATATCTCAGATTGGTCTTCCCACCAACGTTCAGCACCATACTCATGCCTCCAATGTGGGGGAGGCTGAGGCATTGATAGAACAGCTGATGGCGGGTGGTGATCCAACCCTCCTACCCTCCCCAATAAAACCAGGTAAACTTCACATTGATTACTACTACCTTGTCATAAGGTCTAGAAATCTATGTAATTTTTAATGAATTTATCTACTCCATTTGGAGCCCATCAGCCCATACTTGATCAAGCCCTTGTTTTGCAGATAATGTAACAAAACACCATTGCCTACCATTTTACTAACCACCATCATATTTCAAGGTTCACTTTCTCTTTTCCTTAATGATGAAACAAATCCCTTGATAAAATAAATCCATTGCTGGTGCAGTAACAGTACAAGGAGAGTTTGCTGTACTTGTGTCTTGTTGATGTTTCAGGTGGTCAGATACAACCCACACCTCCCATACCCCGCAGTAGGACGAGTGAAACAGACCTTAACAAAAATCCTTACCCCACTGCCTCTGCATCATTGGACCCTCCCAAACCTGTCCCCAGAGCACGAAGTTCCGGCAACATTGCTGCCAATGACATGCTAAACAGGCCGCCACAGAAAGGAGATAGTCCAGTCTTTGAGGCTTTAAACGGTCAGACTGATCAGCCACAGACACGTTCCCGCCCTGTCCCTCGTCAGAGTTGTGTCGTAGCGGATGGGGACATCACTGTCCCTGTGGAGAGGACAGCACCACCACCTATCCTACCAACCAGGCAGCAGAATGGCGGTCAACCAGCTTCTGTGGGACAAAATCCTTTCAGCAGCTCTTCTGGCTTTTCCTTGCTTGACAAACCATTATCACCAGAAAAAACCCAGGGGTCTGAGGTCGACCCATTTGATACAAGTAACATTCCGTCACAATTTCGACAAAACCAGACACCACTTTTCCCCCAGCAACAGTACAGTACCCCACCTACAGGAGAGTTTGTGATGCAAGGAAAGACAACTCATTCCCCAGACCCATTTCAAACAGATTTCAATGCCGAGTCTCCACCATGTCCGGAATTTCAACCTCCATCTATGCCACCTCCAGATTTGGGGTATCCACCCCCTCCCCCACAAGAAGCCCCTCCACCACCCCCAAGAGAAGACTCTTTTGCTGACAATTCCTTTGACAACAGTGGGCAATATGAGGATGTTGACTTTGATGCCCCTCCCCCCAGTAGTTTACCCCCAGGGTTGCCCCCACCCCCACCCCCTAGACCAGCTGTTGACATAGCCCCTCCCACAAGTTTACCCCCTATCCCTTCTAGACCCCCAGTGATAGCTGAACCAGGAAACTTGCCTCCAGTTCCAGCCCGCCCCTCTTTAACCCCTACAGCTCCACCCCCTAACCTACCCCCTGTACCCAGCAGACCAAACCTTCCCCCGGTCCCCCCTCAAATTTGACTTGAGCTAAAAATTAGATTCAGAAAAAGTTCATACTTGTTCGTTTCTGTTTCTTTGCATTGTCAGTATTTAAAACAGCTAGATGGTATTCATCATGACATATGTTTGTGGATTTTTGTATATTCTATAAGTTTGAAGAAAAAGTTTTCCATGATATATGTAAATGGAGGACTGAAAAATTCTTTATCAACAAAGTGGAGTTTAGTACTTGCATGAAGTTTTCAGTTAATCCCATTTGTCAAGAGGAATTTTGTCATCCTCCGTAAATACATATGGAAGTGTCTATCGATTTATGCACAACAGTCACATGGACAGTGACCGGAAAATGTTTTTATTTTTATTTTGCCCTTTTGAACAAGATGGGAATTTTAGTGCAATTTTAATTGACCAATGTTAGCAAGAGTAGGTTTTCGTGTAAAAGTTGTGTTGATATATGTTGATGTGAGATTTGTTATGAGAGAATCTGATCCTGTTATGTAGGGTTGTATTGAATCATTCCAACAGGTGTCAGTTACAATCTGCTTCAGCCAGAAAACTTACTTTCCGTATAGTTTACTCCTGTTCAACACTGCATTACTTACAGATAATTGATGTATGGATTTGGAAAGCAAAGTGTCCATAATAACAAGGTTTCATGGTCTTCTTTTTCTTTTTTAAGTTTTCATTGAAATTTGTACTATTTGTTTGTGGTTATGCTAGTCCATAGATTATATGATTGTGGAATGAGATAGGTGTGTAACATTGTCCATATCATTATCTGTATAACCATGTAGTGTGAGGTGTCAGGTATTTGTGTCAGGCTTGGCTAGTCAATTTACTTCATTGTCTGGAGATAAAATATACCTGGATAACTTCTGGTGATGGATACAGTGCTTAAATTTTCTAACATTTTGGCATTTTTGTTAGGTGAGGTAAATCAAATCTTACCATATTTTACCGGCAATAAGCCCCCCCCCCCTTCCCTAAGAAAAAAGATATGGGCCAAAAGGGTGGGGGGGGGGGGGGGTAATTGCGAGCAACCCCCCCTGTTCACATAATTTCAACATGGTCCGCCATCTTGGATTTTATCTCACCTCTACTGTTGAGTGTCCATTAAATATTTCAACATAAAAAAGTTCATGTTGTACAAATAGGTTTTGAAGGGTTTGACATGGTTGATGTGGAAATACTTCGGTGTAACATAATATGTAACTTTCCAATTAACGGCTTTGTGCCCTACGCAAACAGGAAAAATAACGGCAGACCGAGGCGCACGTGTCGTCTGCAGGTGAGGCCGAATTGGACATTGACATTGATACGTTTTGAGTCGATTTATTGCTTCAATATTTTTATCGATTTAATCATAAACTAGACTCTGAATAGTTTGAATAAAACTTGAAACTTGAATACGGCTTTGAACTCAACATGTCAGCCTCAAAGTGTCACAGCGATGCTATTGTGATTTCAGCGTGGGGTTTGTTGTGTCTAGAACCAAGAGTGTCTAATCAGTGATCACAAGTTGTTGTTAAAATTGAACCGTACCTGTGGTCTAATTAACCAATTGTCATTTTATAATTGCGTTGTTGTTTTTATCAGTATTGTAAAATTTGAAAGGTGTTACACGACCTAAATCTACCTGTTGATGCAGATTTTAAAGAAACAACACAGACACAAGTAAATGTTTTTTAACTTTCGGTTTGTTTTTTCTCCAAACGACTTCACATTTTTCACCTGCAAAAAGATAGGAGTCCAACAATTGGTTATAATCAAAACATCCTTTTTTTAAAGGGGGCTTAATTTGATCCTTTACAAAATTGTATATTTCATCATAAAGATAAAATTAATCTTGTTTGAAGTTGGAGCCGTAGACATAATTTGTGACAAAATTACAGCAAAAACTGTCTAATCTGACATCATCTGGTATCTACTGTGAAACCTGTCTAATCCGACACTGGTGTATCTACTGTGAAACTTGTCTAATATGACACCCTAGAGTATCTACTGTGAAACCTGTCTAAGCTGACACCCTCTGGTACATACTGTGAAACCTGACTAAACTGACACCCTCTGGTATATATACTGTGAAACCTGACTAATCTGACACCCTCTGGTATCTACTGTGAAACCTGTCTAATCGTAGAGTCTTAATAAATAAGTGAACCCTTGTTGACACCTCAAGTCCGGTCAGGTATTTTTTTATTCTCGGATATACGTACATGTTAACTTATTTATTGAGTTATCATGAAATAAATGCATGTTTTTAAAACCTAGACACATTCCAATGCTGTTATTGTTTGTAGTGCTGGTTTACTGTTTGTAATAGACAGGGTATTGTCTGTAGTATACAGATACCCTTACCAGTTTGACATTTTAACGTGATTTTTGAATTGCTTGATTTTGTATCAAAATATTTTTATGTGCTGTAAACTATTTTGTATCAAAATATTGTTATCTATGCTGTTTTGGTTATTTATTTGTGTTTTGTAGGGTAAATGGTTCTGGTCATGCCTTTGTTAACCGGTGACTGCATTGGTACTCTGTTGTTGACCTTTCTAAATACATAGTGAAATTATGTTGTCACATATTGAGATTATCAATTGTATCAATCACCAAAGTCTTATATGGAAAAAAATGAAAATGTGAACAATGATGCTAACAAACGTTACCAATTATTTAGATCCCACTACCCATATATATATATATATATATGTAACAGGACATTATTTCAGATCCCACTACCCATATACAGGACATTATTTCAGATCCCACTACCCATATATATATATATATATGTAACAGGACATTATTTCAAATCCCAATACCCATATATATATATATATATATGTAACAGAACATTATTTTTTCAATGCCATCGTTAGGAGTCGAACCAAGGACATCTGGTTAACTAGTCTAACGCTGTAGCCATTGAGCTAAAGAGAAATTCTCCTTAGTCCAGTGGGTAGTACCCACCAGTATTTTACCAGGGTGACATATATATTATCAATTATAAGTGACAGCTCCCCTCAAAATATATTCATTTCTGGTAGTTAAGCCATGCATAACTCCCACAAAGTTTGGTTGATTAAAGGGCATTACACATTGTACAGAAAACACTTAAATTACCAACCCCCGGGGACATGAAAAATTACCAACCCCCGGGGACATGAAAAATTACTTAACCATTGCAGAAATGTTATCATAGAGTTTGATGTTTCTGATGCAATTTCTTGCCACATATTTAAGCAAGAATCCTAAATTAACATGGTCATGATGAACTTATTTGACTGTCACGAAGTTTTCAAATAACTTGAACTGTAGTTTCTATACCTTTGTAATTTGGTATTCAATCAAATGGGAAATGAAAACATTAAAGGTAAAGATATATATATTTTTTGTAAGTCTGTCAAAAATTCATTTGCACTCAAAGCATTCTTTATGATGCAATACTAACAGTTATAAAAAATTGAAGGACCATGGTGAGCTTATGCCATACCGCAGCGTCCGTCGTCCGTCCGTCTGTCGTCAACTTTTCCTTTAAAACGCTACTAGTCACGAACGGCCAAGTAGATTTTGACTAAATTTGGTCTGGAGCATCCTTAGGCCAAGGGGACTCAATTTTGTTTAAATGGTGGGTGTGGCACCCCTTGGGGCAGATGGGTGGGCCGAATAGGGGAAATAGGTAAAACCTTCAAAATCATTCTCCTACCGTAGGGATTAAGGAATTTTATCCTTATTAAGTCTGGAGCATCCTTGGGCCATTAAGTCTGGAGCATCCTTGAGCCATTAAGTCTGGAGCATCCTTGGGCCATTAAGTCTGGAGCATCCTTGAGCCATTAAGTCTGGAGCATCCTTGGGCCATTAAGTCTGGAGCATCCTTGAGCCATTAAGTCTGGAGCATCCTTGGGCCATTAAGTCTGGAGCATCCTTGAGCCATTAAGTCTGGAGCATCCTTGGGCCATTAAGTCTGGAGCATCCTTGAGCCATTAAGTCTGGAGCATCCTTGGGCCATTAAGTCTGGAGCATCCTTGAGCCATTAAGTCTGGAGCATCCTTGGGCCATTAAGTCTGGAGCATCCTTGAGCCATTAAGTCTGGAGCATCCTTGGGCCATTAAGTCTGGAGCATCCTTGAGCCATTAAGTCTGGAGCATCCTTGGGCCATTAAGTCTGGAGCATCCTTGGGCCATTAAGTCTGGAGCATCCTTGGGCCATTAAGTCTGGAGCATCCTTGGGCCATTAAGTCTGGAGCATCCTTGGGCCATTAAGTCTGGAGCATCCTTGGGCCAAGGGAACTCAGTTTTGTATAAACTGTGGGTTTGGTCCCCCATGGGCCTGAGGGGCGGGGCCCAATAGGGAAACATAGCAAATAATTCTTTAAAATCATTCTACTTCTGTAGGTATGACAGGATTTGGTCCATATTTGGTGTTGAGCATCCTTGGGTTAAGGGAAACCAATTTTGTATAAACGGTGGGTCTGGCCCTTTTGGGGGCTGAGGGGTGGGGTCCAATAGCGGAAACATAGCAAATTATTCTTTAAAATCCTTCTTCTTCTGTAGGAATGAAAAGATTTGGTCCTTATTTGGTGTAAAGCATCCTTGGGTAAAGGGGAACCAATTTTGTATAAACGGTGGGTGTGGCCCCCCCTGGGACCTGAGGGGCTTGGCCCTATAGGGGAAATAGAGGTAAAACCTTTAAAATCCTTCTTCTACCATAGGGATTAAGGGATTTTATCCTTATTTAGTCTGGAGCATCCTTGGGCCAAGGGGACACAATTTTGTATAAGCAGTGGGTGTGGTCTCCCAGGGGGCAGAAGGGCGGGTCCAATAGGAGAAATAGAGGTAAAACCTTTAAAATCCTTCTTCGACCATCGTGATTAAGGGATTTTATCCTTATTTAGTCTGGAGCATCCTTTGGCCAAGGCGACTCAATTTTGTATAAACGGTGGATATGACCCCCCTAGGGGCATAGGGGTGGGGCTCTGTTTGAAATTTGTTATATCTCAAGTACAAAAACAGCCATAAAATGCACTTTTTGTCGAGTAATCAGATAAATTATGATGAAAGGAAGTGATGACAAAAGGTATATGGGTCACTTACAATGGATTGGGCAATGTTTAAGTCAAATATGTTCTATATATGTTAATAGATTGTACGATTATTTCTACCTAGATTTCTACTTAATTTAATAATTATTTCTATGTTATAATTTAACATAAAATATTTCTACATAATTTGATACAGATGTTCATTGAAATCTAGTCACAACTCTTCTGTAAGTTGTTGATCATTTATTGTTATATACAAGTATGTTATAAATTGTACAGCTTTATGATTTGGTGCCATTTCGCCAATGTTATTAACGTCCTCCCTGTTAACTATCTGTCTCTACCTGGAGCACCTACATACATACAGCAGGAGCTGGAGAATGGGCCTTTTACATTCAAATGTTGCTTGAAATATCTTGAGCTTCTTTATGTTATCAATACTGCAACGCACAAAACATTTTTGAGTGTTTATTTTCATGATTAATCTGTTGCAAAAATTATGCAAAAAATTTAATTTGGAAAAGAAATAACAGCCTTTCCTTAAAATACTTCTAAATATTAATTTAAACATTCATGGAATCAAAGGTTTCTTGCAAATTGATTTAACACAGAGTGTTTTGTCACACGTTCCTGAAGTAACACTGATGTTGTAGGAACCTTTGGATGAGGTCTTAAATTGCCTACAGTGTTCTCCATTTGACTATGTACAGGTTGGTTCCAGCTAGGTTTAAATTATCTGCTGTCCACAGTCAAAAGAACTATGCATAGGTGTCCATCACCCTGGATTGTGCGGGTAGTAACCGAAAGTCCATAAAAATTTGACGATTTGGTACACCTCCTGTAATGGGTTTCAATTTAACTCCCGATTTTGGAATATTACTCCTCAAAAAAATCTGAATTCACCTTACCATGCAGAACACTGTTATAAAGATTAAGTACTGTCAGCTTAAATTAAAGGTGAAAATTCAATGTCATCAAATTTTAAAAAAAAAAGCTTCCTTAAAATGTCTGTTAAAATTTTATTTTAGAATCAATATTCAGTAAAAGGCAATGGGGACATTCAATGTGTTAAATTCAATTGTATAGAAAGAATGGCAACACCTATATCAGTGGCACAGCCTGATTTCCTGTTACATTGTACGAGATAATTAAAAGTATAAATGGCACTTAACATCAGTACATATTCATTTCCTTTGGTTTTAGTAAACATGTAAAGTGTGGATACCCACTAATTACATAACCTGTTCCAGACCTTAAGACTAAGTGATTTTTCTACTAACTGGAGTCTTCAGTGTTATCTTATCACCCCTTTTGACTTACCTGTACTGTGAACAATGAACATCCTGTTTCAACTATTACCACGGAATTAGATTATCTAAGTCTGTGCTATTACCAATCACCACTGTAGTGCTCTGACCTCTGGTGCCATAACTCTGTCCCTGTCACCAGATCTGTTGGGGGAGGGTTATATATGTCTGTGAATCAATTTCCTTCTCAGTTGACACCCAACTTACAAACAACATCCAAGTGTTTACAAAATGAAAGAACAATTTCTGTTTAATTATTACCTTAACTGTAAAGTGCATACAGTACTTGCTTCTATTTCTACAACTACCTTAACTTATTAAACACATTTTCTTGGTACATGGTAACATTACAAATTTCACAAAAATGAGGTTTCCTCATCAAGCTCTATCAATTTAAAACTTAAAAGCTAAGAAATTCAGAATATCCCTTGCTAAAAGCCTGTATAAGTGTTTTAATGTCATTTATGTTTCCCACAGATGTCCTTGTATGATACACACAATATTACAGGCTGTGTTGCAACTTATAATTGTAGATATTGGTTGTGTTCTCCTAGTATACCAAAGTCATTTAACAGAAAGTGACACAATTTGAATGAAGATATCTTTTGATTTCAATTTGTATTTTCAATAACTATATCAAGTCTTCAATATTTAATTAAATTTCTCCACAGTCACTTCGATAAGCCAAATAGAAAATACTCAGAAGTTCAATCATGCCAGAGTTATGATTTGTTGTACATATTTCTTGATCTTTATGTAAATGTTCACAGTTTACTCACACCATTATGGGAGAGATTAGTTTACTTCATTTTAACAGTTACTAGGCACTGCTTGAGATAGGGCCTGTTTGCATTTAATTTGTGAATTTTAGTGAATGAAAAATATAAACTTGTGCATATTTTCATTATAATCTGAACTTCTTTGATAGAAGACAAATAGGACATTTTCTGATTTATTGCTTAGTGCTAATAATAGTTCTCGAGGAAGATAAGTCAAATCAAAGACATAGTGTGCTACATAGTGTATATCCCTAACTTTGACACAGATTACAGGTATAATTTGTAGGTTAGCAAACATCCCAAAAGGGAATAGCTCTTAACACAGGTATATTGTTACTGGCCCTTAACACATGTATATTGTGATTGGCTCTTAACACAGCTATATTGTTACTGGCCCTTAAGACAGGTATATTGATACTGGCCCTTAACACAGGGATATTGATACTGGCCCTTAACACAGGTATATGGTGATTGGCTCTTAACACAGGTATATTGTTACTGGCCCTTAAGACAGGTATATTGATACTGGCCCTTAAGACAGGTATATTGATACTGGCCCTCAACACAGGTATATTGATACTGGCCCTCAACACA